GGCAAAGGTGACTGGGCAAAAATGTCGGTAGCTCCTCAGCACCTGACGGGCCTGCTCCTGACTGCGTTGCTGCCCATGAGTTTCGTCGTCAACCTCGGGCCGCAGCAAGCGCTTCCAATAGAACTTCTCTAACATGCGGATCAGCAATGCATAGGTCTTCATCTCCGACTCCGTCATGGCCAACAAATTTGAAGAGAAGATGGTCAGATCCTTGTCGAAATCAAGGTACTTGTACTTCTTATAGAGTGCAAGGTGTACTCGTCGAAGTTGATGGCGAGCACCGATGAAGGCGTAGTTTGGATGTTTCAGCGGAAAGTGGTGATCTTCACCTCCATAGACCTGGCCAATTGGGTCATCCAACGCCAGGGCGCGACCGAGAGTAATTTCCACTGACACCTCGTGAGGGCCTACTCGGTCTCGCTTGTAGTCTGTGCAGGCATCATGAAAACCGGAGACCAAATCTGCCCAGCAAAACTCATGGGCTTTCTTTCTGAAGCAGCAGCAGAGCTCCGGGACCTTGAACTTCTGCTGCACCGCTCCGACCTGCCTCTTCTTTTGACTTACGATGGTCTCGATGGAGTCCAGTTTGCCCTTCGTTGCGCAATCCATGATAGAGCTTGAGCAGGAGTTGGCTGAGAACTTGGAGCCATCACATGCCATTACCCTTCTTCGTCCCCTCGAAACGGACGCTTCAGGACGGCGCCAGGCGCCAGGCGCCAGATACACCAAGGCACGTTCGCTTCTGGAGAGTGGCAGCATCCAGGTGGGCACAACCGGGTTTGGGATGGTTGGGGGCTGTTCTGCTTGGTTGGTTGGAGTTGGTTTGGCGCAAGTGGCAAGCGTTGTTTTCAAGCTAGAATTGTCACCTTTCGATTGCCTTGGGATGGTGAAGAGACCAGACTTGGACTTCTTTTCCGGCCAACTTGCAGTGGCCGAAACCACGTCATTTCCAGAAGGAATGGGGCAAACTGTCCTCAAATTTCTAGATTGTAGCCGGGAGCATGAGCTTGAGGAAAGTTCACCCGGCTGGCACAAGCTTAAACACTAGCCTTGTTCAGCTCTGGCAAGCCTGCGCCTCAAATCCAGTAGGCACATGATAGAACCCGTGTGACTTCTACAATGGACCAAACCTGGGAATGCAACACGCAAATGTTGCGAGTTTCAATAGGCCTTTTGAGGAGGATAATGAAGGATATATAGGCGAGAGAACACACCCAATTGCGGGTAGGAGGCCATCGCTAGTAGGTTGGAGGCATTATTGCTATTCAGTTCCTTAGGAGGCCATGTGTGCTGTACTCGTCGTCTGCCCCCACCTCAGTTGGGGATTCCGCCCCGTGAGCCTTTCCTGAACGGTTCCGAGCTGCCAGCACCGAAGACAAACGAATTACCGTGGGGAACTCTTCCTCCATATGCCGCGTATGCAAGCAGTGAGGCCAAATATGGCTGAATGGTAGTGGATGAAGGTGGCGAAGAGTGAGTGGGTAGGGTGGTCGCCTCATGTTGAACCCTGTCATTGAGAAACTTGGAGGCCAAGTGAATGCTTGGAGCATTGTGAACAAGCGCTGCCACACATTGGTGTCTGGTACATTGATGTACCTTCCATGTCAGGATTCATCTGCGGCGGTCCGAACCGCGGTGGTTCGAACAATAGCTTTTGAATGGTCATAGGCTGGCAAGTGAAAGTCCCTTGGCTTGCAATTATGACAAATCTATCTCAGGACCTGAAAAAATGTCTGTGCAATCTCTGTAACGCAATGGACCCAGAGTCACAAAAAAAAAAGATCCAAACTCTCGCAGATGCTGAACCCGCCGCTTAAATAACTGGGTGTAGCCATATGCAAAACGGAAGCATAAACCTGACCTGCACCCGAACAGTCTTTTTGCGTTCAAAGGCCCAACTGAGGGGGCAACTAGCAACAAAGGGCATCGCTACTAGGAGCAAGGACGCTACTTGTAGCTCCTGGCCTTACTGCTAGGAACAAGAAGCTACTAGGAGCAAGGACGCTATTACGTGGAGGCCATCGCAAGTAGGTTGGAGGCCATCGCTACTAGGAACAAGAAGCTATTGGTAACAAGGTGCTATGGCAATTGTTGTTCCGCTTGGCCAAGTGACGCGCCCACGAGCCAGGAGAGTGCGCCAAGGAAGGTGCCAGAGCAGTTCAGAGGCATTGGAGTTAAGCTCTCCACCTGGAGAGTTTGGTGACATCCGATGCACCAGTGGGACAGAAGAAACATGACAAAACAGCAAACCACTTGAGATGTGTTTAATCAAGTTATTCATCCACAAGTTCTTCATGATCTTGGATGGGATGACCCTGCCCATGGGCCACCAAAACGATTTAAGATTCTACAGACTTTGCAAGAACCCTACATATTATGACATAATCGCACTTTCAAGGAACAATGCCGTTAATTTGTCTTTTCCCAAACACAGTGTTTTTTGGTTGTGACCAGGCGGAAACCGGCAGAAACAAAGAGATAAAGCAACGTGTAGAACAAAGGCAACGTCATTATATTATATATAACTTTCCAGAACTAAGCAGTAGCAGTTGTCTTGGTTTTAGTAAGAGGTCGTCATGGTTTCTGATCCTATAGAGCTTCCGTATGTCCAGAGAATCTTGACCATGAAGTGGGGACAACAACAATCACCTGATCAGCCACATGACCCATGAGAAAACCAAGCAGCTGAGACATGGTTCATTGATGAATTGATGATCCGCTTGGTGAAGATCCCCAGGTCCCCAGGGCTGTTTTCACGGTTTTCCACTTTAGGAGACATCGTTCAAATCCAAAGAGTGTGCGTTTCAAACAAATATCGTGAGTCGTCGTGGCTGATCATGAGTCTTGAATAGACGTGGCTGACGTGGCGATCGATCTCACACGAAACAAGCCGGCAAAAGTGTACTTCATCCCCTTGATAGCAGGAAAACGTATGACAAATCAAATCAAATAAGTAGTCCACCTCCTCCCCACTCCCATTTGGTCTGGATTCACAGCCCCAGGCGCATTGGAGACGTGACAAATCCTCCACTTCATCGATCGCGCCCTCGATGGGTGCGACGCTGGTGGCTTGCAATGGCTGCGGCTGTGTCTGCGGCTGGAGTGCTTCAAGAGCTTCTGGAAGTTTTGAAGGTGCTGCGGTCGCAGCTGCCTGGGAAGAATGGATTTCAGAGTCGTGCAGAGCCGTGCATCGCTCTCCAAACAATCACAACATAGAACGAACAATGACAAGCCTCTCCTATCAGAATGGAATAGCAATGTGGTTCTTCATGCACTGGCCCCTGGGATTCCAAAATTCCTCACCCTTCACAGTTGAGGCCATCACGCAAACCGTCAGGTCCTGCCATTGCTCCATCATTTCCTTAAGAAAGGGCATCCCACATCCGCCCAAGTCAGGTCATAGACTCCACAACCTCGACTGCCTGGAGGTGAAGGCGTTGACTGCCGCTGTCCAGCAAGGTCTTGTCCTCCTCCTCCTCAGGCCTCTCGACCTGGGTGAGAACCCCCTGGAAGAAGGAAACTAGATCAAAACCCATTGGTTGGGTGTCGCCCTATTTAACTATGCACTCGCAAACACATACAAAACAACACCATGGCCAGGCCACGCAAGGGGGTGAGGCAGCGAGGCTCTGGCAGCAATGCGCCACTGGCGCCCTCGTGCTCCCAGACGCAAAGGCGTAACATCTGATCGTCGGACTCCTGCGATAGACTATGGACCCGAAGGGCCAAGTGACATGGGTGACGAGGGCAGTGTTTTGGGGTGTGCAGTGGTGGAAAGCCAGGAAGAACATCGGGAATCCATGGGAAACCGATCATCTGGTTTCTTTCCTCAGCTTTTTCCAAAATGTTCCAGACACCTTTACCATTCCACGCCCACCTATTTCAACTCAAGACCCTGTTTTCAATGAAGCACAACTGCAGGACTGGCCAGCCGACTGTCACCCGACTCTCACTGCTCCGGTTTGGGAAAGAAGCGGGGGTGCCCATATATATCTTCGGTGTTCCCTCACGCTGGCACTGAGCTCAGGCGCTTCATCCGTGAGGAGGTCGCAACTCTCTCTGACACGACTTATTTGTGCATCATGGTTTTCATATTGAGATTGGTATAGAGTATAGATTTGTCAATACTAGTGCTGAACATATGCCCTTGCTTTGACTTGACTTGCTTGATTGCTTACAAACACGCCGCATTTTTCACCCGAGATTCATGTGCATCTCGGTGCTGTCTGGTGCATCGTTCTAGGTCCGGCAAGCTACTGCGGCGCAGCACCTTGTCGATTGGGATGCCACAATCCAGGAAGGCCATTGCCTGCGCGAAGTCCATTGGTCGGTTTGCACCACGAGCTGCGAGCTCCCCGTCGCTGAAAACGCTCATGATTGCACCAACAAACATCAACAAACGTTTCCGCAGAACATTGAAACTATATGGTCACGGACGCACAAGTCTCCTGGTACAAAATGAGGCCTGTGTTGCAAAACCCCCTTGTAAACGGAGTGTTCATGGAATGGACCATGGAAAAAATGCAGGTTCGTTTCCTATTCGTGTTCATCAGTGCGGACCGCGCGTGTCTCGGATCACTTGCACCAGAGCTTCCAGCACATCTTCGTGCAAAAACAATTACACGACACGGTCGGTTTAAACCGATGACAACCGATGACCATGTTATGACACTGATGACAATGCTGCCGTGAAAACAGTGAAGCGAACGAAAACACCAGGCGACTGATGAATCCGTGGGCACGTGGCCTGCGAGGTCTGCGATTCGGACCTCGACGGAGGATGCGCCGACTTTGAGCCCAAACGGCGGAATCGCAGAACGAACGAATCGTCGCCCCAACTCCGGTGGTCCGAAGTCAGTTTTACAAACTGCAAGGTTTCCCGGAAGGGTCTTAGAGGAAAGTTCCGTTCTTCGTTCCAACGGCGTTTCTTCATACCAAAAGCTGTGCTTCTTCAGACCTCAGCACCGAAGCCGTCGCGCTTCAGCCCTGGATCGTCCTGCCTAAAGGTGCCAAACCACTGGAGGCTAGGAAGGTATGTCCTGGCAAAACAGGGCTGGAGGTGCCGAATGGTGCTTCTGGTTCCGAACTTGACCGAATTGATTCGCAAGTTTCTTTCTGTACTTCTAGCCACCAGCTGCTCGGCTAAACAAGAACACCTTCTTGCAGCAAGTGGGGAAAGCCCGGGTTTGCGAGGATGAAGTTCAGGATTGAGTTCATGAATGATAATGAATCTTCTACTTCACTGAAGGTAAATAGTAGACTCTCGGATACTCTTGGAACAATGGTTATGTTTTCCAGCACGTCCATGTAGCAGTCTTTGGGTACCCCCGAGTGTGGCCATCGAAAGAAACATCTAGTAACCCAAACCAAGGTCGCGGCACAGTTGTATAGCAGCCCGGGGTGTGTAGCTACGTGACCGATTAGCGTGCTCTGCCAACAAAACATTGCTGCTGTTGCTGCTGCTGGTGATGATGATGGTGATGATGCTGATGATGAGGTTGTCGTTGTCACCACGTTGCAAAAGGAATGTTACTACCCCCCCGGCCCACCACCCACCCAAGATCTGCTGAATTGCCTGAATCTTCTTGAACGTGTAATCTTTTCTGGAGCAAATGATGAATGTTGTGCACGGCGTGGTTACATGTTGTGGAAGAACCAACTCTTTTGGAACAATCATAGATGTTGTGGGGCGGGTGATGAATGTGGTGCGGAACATGTTGTAAAACGCTTCTAAAACCCCAGGCCGCTAATGGCGGTGTGAGCACAAACAAACCTTCAGTTCTCACATGTTCTCACGAGTTCTGTTCAGAAAGAACCGAGTTCTGTTAATTCTGTTCATGATTTCAGGCTGCCAAGGATTCCGTCATTTGTACCGAGTACAGAAAATGAGTTTAGGGTTTAGGATGGTTTATGGTGAAGTCGTTGGAGATCAGTATTGGATCCCTAGAAGGTGGTCGTTTCTGCGAAGGTGGTCGTTTCTGCGCTAGCGGGCCGCGGGCCCGACCCCGACCTGGGGCATAGGGGTCTTGGGTGGTGGTGTTGCGGCCCTTGTAGTCAAAGAGCCCGGCAAAGTCACCATCATTGTTGGTCAAATATTGATCCCAACCTGACAAATCCGCAACTGAAAATGATGAGGCTGCGAGGCGCGACAAATCCCACCCTGAAACGAACTTCGACTGTGAGAAAAACATGGCCCGCGATCTTGATCTAAGTTTGTTCAGTCCAAGCCATGCGCAGCCATTAAATTGGATTGATTTTTAAAACGAACTTGAACATTTAGGAGATACAAAGCCTCCTGTCACGAGGCTTATACAAGTCATCCATGCCACGTCAGTTTTGCCCACCAACTGCGCTTGACAGGTCTCAGGTGGATTTGGTCTTGTCATGTCCTGTCCGATGAAAATGACCGATTCCGATGAGCCAACTGATGACGGTTGACCAAGCAGTTCGGTGCTGCCGAAGCGGTTCGGACCGGCACCCATGGGTGGCACGTTCCATCCAGTCCGTGCCACGAGTCCGTGCGACGAGTTCCGTGAAGTGCCATTGTGGGATTTTGAGGCTGTTCCTGATTTGATTGAAGACATAGGGACACAGGCTGAAGAGGATCGGGATCCAAAGGGTTTAAAAGTGCTTTGAACTGGCAACCTGCCAAACTAAATAGCAAACCACCGACTCGTTTGCAATCTACCAAGCATTTCTGCAACCATCCACTCCGCCGTGATTAAGATGTCCCAAGCAGCCCTGATGGTCCAGCAGGTACGGGTTCTCCCGCAGCCATCCCGCGTAGCCCATCAGTAAGGATGCAGCTTTGTGGCTGCCGCGCGCCAGCAACACTGCAGGACTGATGGAAGCGCTGAGTTGATGCCGCGCAAAAACCAACTCCTTGACTGAACAACTGAACGGAAGACCTACGGAGGTGAGGAGCTCAAAAAAATCCTGAGGATGGGTGCACACACAAATATAATCAAATATATGTATATAGCACACACGCATATATATGTATGTAAAAATGATATATATTACACATATGTATATATATATATATCAGCTACTTATGTTTACTTATGCATAATATATATATATATATATGTATGTATGTATACATTTGTATAACAAAATGTTTGGATGTATGAACTTCATTAACCTGTGGATAGCTGGTCATATCAGAGCCTCCTAATTCCAGGGACAGGTCCTCATGTTCGGGGTGTGTAGTGGGGATATTGTCATCTTACAGTAAATGCATGGGCGAAAAGTATCCCTTCAAACTAAATGCTACATGTTTGCCGGGATCTGCAGGAAATTCTTCTGTGTGTGCGTGCTCTGATGTGTTGTGAAACGGGATCAACAAGATTAGGAGTGGCATCATCTGGCCGCTTTGAGGGGCCCCAGGCTCGTCCAGGTTTCCATGCAAATGTCGAGCTGCTTTCGCGCTCACATCCGCATGGCGTGCACAACAAATCATACGCAACAGCGCACGGCGATGCGAGGTGCAGGGCGGGCCAGGGCGGGCCAAGTCGGGCGGGCGTGGATTTCCATGGTGTTGATGGCACCTTCCAAGTCATGCATGCGAACCCAATTGGGGTTGGTTTTGGAACTTTATCCTGCAATCCCCTTTTGGGGTCTGTTGCTGCGCAAAAACAGGTACATCTTGAAGAAACACCCAACAACTATGGCAGAACCACCCACAGCTCGCAGCGACCTCCTCAAAACCACATGGTGTGACCGGAAGATCAACGAATTCACACCGCTCCAGCTTAGACAAGCGCGCCAAGGCTCACTGGTATTCCCTAGCTCCTCGAAGACGAATGAGCTAGGATCGGTCAGGACGAAGACATCCAGATCCAACCACACCGTGGTGACGCCCAAGTGGGCGACGGAAGCCAAGGCCAAGTATTTGGCCACCATGGCCTGCTAAAAGCAAAAACGATTCCCACAAAGACCCCAAACTGGAGGCACCGGTTCAGGAATTGGATCCTAGAAAAAGCATGTTGAAGAACCTCCTGAGAATGAGCTTCCAAATCTGACCTCAATGAGCTAAATTCTCAGTTCTGTGGTGTCTCTGGACACAAGTCACCGGACCGCAGCACATCTTCGGTCAGATGACCGCCAAAGTAGGTAGCAAATCAATTTGTGAAACATGTGTGAAGGTTCAGGCCAGCTCTTCATGGGTGGGATGTGCAATTAATGTTGTTCTCAAGTACTCAAGTTTCAAGAAACCATCCCACATGTTGCAGCCTTGGCTTGGAACTGCTCCATGTCCCACCTACTTGACAATGAGACAACAACAAATAATCATCTCGTCCCTTATCTATACATGTTCTTACTACGTAGCTTGAATTCTCTTATATAACATCTCTCAGGCTCTGATACCTGATACCTTGGATTCCATATGAGGTATCCACCCATTCCATCCATACTTCCATCCGCCATTGATACCATCAGCCCGCATCTTCACCCACACCTCCACGCCCAAGCGCTGTGGCGCTTCAATGCAGCGAATCTTCACCCGTCGCGGCGAGCTGGCACGGGCCGCGGACGCCCCCGCGCTGCTCAGGTCCTGAGAGACGAGCAGCGGTGAGCCGGGGGTTGGCTCGTGATCAACCCGAGCAAAAACGGCCTCCAAGCTGCTTGCGGTGGCCTCCAACCCACTAGCAAGTTGCCTCCAACCTAAGAGCGATGGCCTCCAAACTTGAGAAAAACATGTGAAAGCCATGGAAAAGGGACATGATGGGTTTGGAGGTTGAGATGAACAATGTCCACCACGACTGGCATGGGATGAAGAAGCCAAAGCGCGACGCAAATTGGAGCCGACGAAAACAGTAAGTCGTGTATGGGCTAAAGATAACAAGAAACTATACTAGTAGCAAGGACGCTTTTAGGTGTTAGGTTGGAGGCCATATCGCTACAAGTAACAAGAAGCTACTATAGGTGGAGGCATCCCTTCTTCAGTCAAGATCAGTTTTGGGCAGTCGCCAATTAGTGCAACACTTCCAGAAATGCGTAATCAAACCCGACAGTCATGACACCTATAAATTGAAGCCTTCCAAAACCATTTCCCCTACAATCCCGTGGTGCTCAGCTTGACGTCCATCTTTCTGACTGTTTGGGGGGGGTGCTCCACCAAACAGTCTAACAATGTCCAAAGTGTTACACTCCCGAAAACTAACATAGACCCTGACTGGCTGGCCCCCCGGAAGAGTGTTTTCCTCTACCAACCAGTGCAGGGTCCATGTTAGTCTTCCAAAGTGTTATGATGTGTCACTGTGTCATTAAAGTGTCCAAGTTTAGAGTCTGATAGGCCAACGCACGTGTCAGACGCCAAGCGATCTCGGCACAAAACCAGCAGCGGGGCTGTCTTAGACACCACCCGCCAGCGTCTCAAAACGCCATGTAGTTGTTCCTCAACACGGCTGGTGCCCGCGCAGGCCCGGGGGCACTGGCCCACCCCACGAGTGAGAGGAGTGGCGAAGCAAGATCCGCCGTCGGGGTTGGGAACGGAATTCCCGAAACTTAAGAGACTTCGGGAGTGTATTACGGTTTTCACATCCAACACACATCCGAAAACTCTCATGGACGTCGAATGGCGCCCGATGGCGTCCGACCGGTTTCCTCGACAACTCCGTGTGAGTTTTACCGTGCTAGTGTGAGGCTGTCAGCGGGGTAATACATCCCCCCCATATCCCCCCTGCCCCTACAACGGAACAATTGAAACATCCAAGTGTGACTGCCAAATTGCCAATAAACACAATGATAAGCAAACAACATGGCCCCCAAGTAGTACCCCCCGGGCTTTGGAAGGATCAAGCACAAAGCAATGGGTGAAGCTTACAAGCAAATCAAGCGATGTGCAGTGAAGTCCAAGTTTCTGACATCCAGCCCCAAGCTGATGTCACAAAAATCACCTCTGCAGCCCCTTTGGCTGCCTGTACGGTTTCTACGGCTTGCTTCACGTCAGTCACCAGGGTCAAGGCAGCATCCTTGGCCTCGGGCTTGCTTTTTCTTTGGGACAGGCCATCCGTACGATAGTGTGAGGAAACGACCCAGTGGAGTCCATTCCGGGTGTACACTTGGCACAATCGACGCCGAAAATCAATCCTCATAACTACTATGCGTTCTCACGGCGCTCAGCGGCCTGTTCGGCCCCTTTTCGGTCCACGGAGTCGCAGAGTCCACTCTGAAGAACTCACCCCATGAGACTGGTCACCCTGCTTCCAAAGACGACACGTCGTCCACCTTTTCAGGTAGCAACCAGAAGCACTTAGTGGAGAGAAGAAAGAGAACATCTGGTTGCCAAACGCGGCCCTTGCGAATTTTTCTCTGGCCTCTTCTGTTGCCATGCGTCACTTGCCGCCAAATGAGCCAACACAGCTCGAACCCCTCTAATTGGCCGACTGAATGCTCTGAAAGGGTATGGTGTTCGAAGTACACTCGGATCGAGTTCTCTGGACCAACGAAGCTTTTGGTTTGAGATCAAACCGTTCCTAGTAGCTTCTTGTTCCTAGCAGTACGGCCCAGGAGTGCCCAGGAGTGCCGCGTCCGATCGCTCCGTTCGAAGACAAATGCCCCTGGCCGTAGCGTGCGTTCGGAGGTCGAGGAGGTCGATCTATTCGTTCAATCCTTCCCATCCACTTCATCCAACTGCCATTGAATCCCCCCCCTCCCCCCCCAGTGAAACGCCCCCCCCCCCAGACCCAGGGGTTGCCCCACGTCCCAGGCACTGCAGTCAGTTCGTTCTCCTGCGTGCTCTGCCTCAGCGGGTTCCGCTGGCGAGGTGGACGGCAAGGTGGGCCTCTGCCCGATCTTCGTTCTCCATGGAAAAACCCTGTTTCTTTCGTGCACAGCTGCATGGTGGACTGCATCTCTTTTCGATCTCCAACTCCATTCGGAAATCCTGCGGATCCCCCGCTTCCTTCTCTGGTTTTCGGGCTCAGCTCGCATCAAGGGGCCAAATTTCATCTGGATGAGCACGCTGCAACAAGCTGGCCCAATGCATCAGCCGCCAAACTGCCCAGTCAGTCCGAGCAGCCTGGAAGGTGTGAAAGGACGACACTCCCATCATCTCCATAAATAGGCTCCCAAATAAATAGAAGTTCCTAGATCCCCACCCAAAAAGTGTATTGGAAACCGTGCCACGGTCCATCTATTTGGGGATCACTAGTATACTGCCATTGCTGCCAGCACCAAAAGCTAAAGCTTGGAACATCGGGCGCTTCGGAGATCCGTAGCGCGATGCCTGCTGGACAGGTCCGTAGACATTCACCAGATTCGCTACGATGGAGACCAGTTTCTGCAACCTTCCCTCGATGTCGCGCAAGTGAACCACAAAGATCTGAAGGATGTAGCCTTCTTCAACGAGATCTCGGGTTTAGGGTTTCGCTCGACAAAGGCGCAGGGAGGGGATGGACTCCTGATTTGGGGGACGGACTCCTTTCTTTTGATTGCAGGGCCCCAGGCTGGCCGCCATGACCACATCTTGATGCCCAAGGCACTGAATAGTGCAGAATCCAAAACTTGTTGAAACACCTTCCCTAAACCTTGGTGCAAAGAAACCCTTTTAAGCCTCAAGCAAAAACGTGCAAAACAAATCATAAAAGTACAGGAATTTTGCCTTTTGAGTCCCACCATCTTCACCTCGTTGGCATTTTTGACACCCATTCCATCCCTGTTCAACCTTCGACAATGTGGCTTCCCTCTTCCATATCTTTTTTAAAGGACCCACTGGCATACCTGGCATGGTGAAATGCCGATAGGTACCGGTGCAGCTACCGGTGCGGGCACACGAGGTCCGGAGTTGCGCAGCTCTCCAAATCCGAGTTGCTCGAGATGACCCCCAAGTGGCAGCCAGCTTTGTAATGGTGCTTCCGATAGGCATCGAACACATCATGCGAGACATAGACCAGCTCCTAGCCCACAGCAACATGCAGGATGAAAGTATCCACTGAAAGCAGTATCATATGAAGAAAAAGAGTGGATGGCCGACTTGGCCTGGTCACGCTCAACGTCTTGACGAAGATGCGGAGTTAGTTCAAAAAGGGCTTCCCAGGATGAAGGATGCTGCCTGTTGCAGTGGTGCGTGATCCTTCTGCGATCTGCGGGCACGCCCCACGGTTGAGAGCCCCCCAGGGTTTTGAAGACCACGGGGTTGTGGACCATCATCCTTCCAGTCTGGTCGATTCAAGGGAGTAGATTGACTTGGTTAGATCATGGGGACTAGAATCCAGGGTCAGAAAGGTCCACACTTCTTGATACCTGTCAAGCGCGGTTCCATGTGGGCTCCCTGGACCAGTTGTCATCTGAAGGGGAGAACGCGCCATTTCTCCACCACTTTTTGGCCATCTGAGGCCCTGCGGTCATCTGAAGCCCCTGGTACCAAGAACTTCTGGTAGGCCGAGTGAGCTCACCTAGAAACAGGACCCTTCCACAAGCTAGGCTAGGCCTAGCAACACCTGAACTCTTCACCTCAAAACAGGGGCTTCGACCAGTCCGCGGGTCCCATGATGTCCCCCATCTTCTCCAGTTTAGACCTCTTAATGACCTCCATCTTCGACCTCTGTCAGACCCTCATCGCCCGCGTTCCTTCATCTCATGCAGTGCGTGGATCCGTTGCCACCGCGCGGTGTGTTGCCGCGAGAGGGGTCCATCTTCGGACCTTCGCGCAGAAGGTCCGGGATGGTCCGGGCGCCGGGCCCAGGGGGTTGCTGCGTCTTGATGCAACTGCGAAGGTGGTGGAAGAAGTAAAATGGATCATCAGTTGCCCGAGGTTCACCAACAAAATATGCTGTTTGGTTTAGTTATGTTTAGTTGATGTGTCTCTCGAGGCTGGTTGCCTCTAAAGAGCCCAACCAGCTGTGTGGGTGTGGGTGTGGGCAGGTCCCTTTTTGAAAGACATTCTGTGCAACATATTACTAGTTTGTTTCTTCTTTTTGCGAGCCCGTTTTTGTGCCATGGGAACCCGAATTGCCAGCATGATCTAGCATAGCATAGAAACCTGCTAGATATCAGCTTTGTCGCTTCTTTTTTTGTGACTGAGAGGCCATTTTCGTGCACCTGACGTGCCCATGAGCAGCATTTGCTGCTCTTGCTTGAAGGTCTTCATCATTCAGTCCATGAGTCCAGGAACATGATTCAACGTCTTAATGCGGACCTCTATTGTTGCATGTTGGTCGCTTGGGTGAAGCGAAGACACGCTTTCGCATCAGTGTGCCCAAGGCATGCTTGACCAAACCCGCCCCTGCGAAGCGAAGGAATCTTTCCGCCCGCGACCTGGTGCTTACTTCTCGTGCGGCACATCTGGTGCAAAACGGAACCTTCGCAGATGCGGAGCTGAGATTGCTTTGAGGTAGCGGATCCATCTGTACAGGCGACTCGACTCTGCCAATCGCCACTCTAACGTCTGGAACCCTTTTCTTGACACGAGTCACACGCTTCGCGAACCGAACGAAAACTCCTGGCCTATACTACTACGATCGCGAACGGAGCGATCGGACGCGAACCCGAACGGGGCGAACCCGGCCAAGCGGCGACTCGAACGGAGCATTCGTTACGACGAACGTGGCAAGAAAAACGAGCCCGCCCGAGCCCGCCTGAGCTTGAAGACGGACTCATCGGAGACCAATTGCGTGGCCTCGGTGAGAGGTGGGGGAACATCCTGGGCGTCTCGAGCGACTGGGCCTCGTCTCTCGGTGACAAAAGCATTATATATACCTAGATCTTCAAATGAGCAGAAATAAGTGCTCGAGGTGTAAACTGCTCGTTTTGCAAAAAAGTGCTCGAGCTGCAAATGAAGAAAAGCAAAAACAGGTGCAGTTTTCCAAAGTGCGCTCGTGTGCGCTTTTTTGGGCTCGTGTGCGGAATTTTGCGCTCGAAGTGCGGCCTTGAAAAAATGCGCGGGACACACAAGAAACTGCGCGTTTTACAAAAACTGCTCGTTTATCCAGAAAGTGCTCGATTCTTAAGAAAGTGCTACGAAACGCAGGTTGAGGACTCATTTCTGCTCGTTTGAAGACCTAGGTATATATACTTGGCTTAAAACGCTTTAGGTATTAGCAACCGGTTCCCCTAAGCTCCTGATGCCGGTGACCACCAAACTTTGAATGAATCTTATGACATGACTTAGACACCAAGAGGAGGACCATGCATTTCGCGCGGGCAGTGGGCGAATGACAAGAACCTCTGAACGAACCGCCAATCTGAACAAAGGACACCTGGGGAAAGACGTGTGCATGCAACTAGGTGGTTTCAACCTCTGGCACATGCGGCGAAGCTCAGCATAGCTCAGCTGCCAACTGCCTGTGGACCCTAACGGTCGATGCAACGGTCGATGCAACAGGAGTGTAAAACCACCATGAGCCGATCCTTCGGCAAAGCCGAGGTGACGAAAGGACCTGGTCTTCCCAGGCCTTTGTGGAGCGCAAACAAAGATCGACTGAAGAGAGGGGAATGCATGCATATATGAATAACTGGGGCTACAGAATCAATTATGTCTGGGAGAATTCCTTCTATCCTACCCACGAACGTTCTACTTTACATCCCAACAATCGGAAAAAGGTTGATGCCAGTGCCAGGTCTCCATTCTCAGCATCCGTCGTATTACCGCTGGCCACCTGTCCACCTCACCTCGCGCATTTGGACCGCCTCACCAAGAGACTGCATCTGCAAGCATGGACTTGAAGAGAGGCCAATCAAAAACATCAGGATCACCTTGGTTTTCACCAGCTCAGAAACATCTCCCCTCAAGTCGCAGATGCCTCTGGCTTTCAAAGGGGCGAACCTTCGGAAGCCTCGGGTTGTCGCCCGTCGCCAGGCGTGCTGCACCCCTCAAAACCTGGAAACTCCCAGGTACGGCAGTTTTCACGGCCGGCTGTCTGTGTTTCACATGCAGTAAGTAAACACGCTCGATCGGCGTAGTAAACACCAGAAACTCCAGGATCGTTGGGAGTCTGTTTCTGGTAAGTTTGGCCGGTAGTAGCAAAGTGTGAATCCTTCCAGGGGCCGAAAAAGGGGGGAACATGGCCAAGAATGCCAGTCGGATGCACCAACATTGGCAGGCTCACATCCACCTCTCGTCCAGCATCTCTGGCATCAAGCAACTCCAACAAAAGTAAGAACCCCAAGACCAGGTCAACCTGTTTGGGGGAAAAACAGATCACATTCCAAGACCACCGTGGCTGACTTGCCATGTGGCTATTCCACATGGTGTTCTTCTTGCACGCGCCCAAGCCTCAGTCTGAAGGTTCGATCGGGTCAGCTGAAGCAGGGTTAGGCCCGGCTGGCATGTCGGATGGAGGTACCGATACGGCCAGTGAACAACTCTCATCAAGATGCTTCGTTCTGGCTTAACATCAGGGAGATTGTTGGAATGGACACCCTGCCAGGCCGGTTGTGGGAGCCCGCGATCAAGTTAGACCTTTCCGTGCCCTTGCCTGACGAGACCAAACCTGAATCACCAAGCGCTTTCGTTTATGCCACGGCAACTGCTGTGCTGGAGAATGAACAAGACTATGGCCGGATTTGGTCCTGACCAAAACCGGGACTCAATTTCTTCCAAGGCACGGGTACTGCTATTCCTTGGCTCAAAGAGGCAGCACGTGCCATGAAGCTCGTTTTGAAACATCCTGGTGCTGTCTGTATCCTGTCGCACTTATCATTGATTGTGTTTATGTCAAATTTGTGTCAGTTAATTCTGGGCGCTAAGAACTTCGAAGACCACCTCGATTTCTTGAGGAAGGTCGGTGCCACCACCAGCACCAGCCAATCACAAGACCCCAGCTATACCTAGATCTTCCAACTGTGCAAAAATTATACCGTTTCACATCTATTCATCTACAAAGCCAGCCAAGTTCGGCAGACATGTTGCATAGTTGGAAGATCTATGTGATATGTGCCCGAAACAAGGTATCCGACACCGAGGCACTCTGGGATCAAGCGCGCCAGGATGTCCAACAGTCGGAAGGCCGGCCAAGGACTACGAAGGACCAGGTGCAGCCGGGTCTCGTGCTTGAGGCTCAAAACCTGGTGCTTCAAACTGCGAACATCAGCTGGGTCAACCAGAACGCAGGGGTCTGGCGTATGGTCAGTAGTACGCAAAAAGTGCCCAAGTCTTTGGCGACATCAGCTGATGCCCTGGCTAGCCACATGTCTTTTCGTCAAAATCATGGAGTTAGAGGACTGAGGAGGGCATCCAGCACTGCACCATGCCAGCTTCGGCGCTGCAAGGCAGGCTCCGCTCTCTCCGCTCTCGCGGTCACTCTGAAAAAACGAAAACGAGATCCCAGATAGACCCCGCAGGTGAGGGTGACCACGCCCTCCAACCAAACAGCAAATGGCCTCCAACCTAATAGTAATGGCCTCCAATCAACAGGCTACCCCATGGCCACCACAGCCACCTGCCAAACGACACAGTCTGCAGCAACTTCAAACACATTCCGTGCCCTAAACATCAGGACACCGTAACATCAGGCATCCTGGACTTGAAGAATAGCTGCGCTGCATCTGTCGGCTGCGCTGCATCTGTCAGATCGGATGCCAAGCTGCAGTCATCTTTCCGAGCAAGTCCTCGTCCAGCGACCCAGCACACTCCAAGGCTTCGTCGTGGGCTCCACCGCGTAAAAGCCTGAGAAGGCACCAAAATGGGACGGAACAGATGACCCTCCAACGTCAATGGCCTCGTTAAACTTGTTCCTTAGTATACTAGTAACATAACTTTAAAGGAATCCAGTTTAACTTGGTCCGAAAAGGGTAAATGCGTGCATGATCTCTTCGGAGGTCGATTTGAAGGGCATCAAAGGCGATTTGGAGTGAAATCACAGTAACAAGTAACAAGAGCGTAAATGGAGCGTAACAGGTCCTCAGCCTTAGCTCCCTTAATTTCAATAAGCAAATCCTGACCAGGGTTGTTGGATTGTTGAATTTGACAGTTTTTTGCATGATCTTAAAAGGATCTTAAAAGTTTGGTGCATTCTTGCAGGATCTATGTGCCATTATTGTGGTAATGTGGACCTCGCTTGGATAAACGGGCTTTGGCTCTGACAAATAAAACGTACTTGCACAAAAAGTATTCGATTATATGATTATATAACAAGGTTCCCTTCTTTACACTTTGGACTTGCAGGGTCAGAATTGCAGAACAAATGGGTGGATTCAACTCGGTGGTCTTGGTGGTCTCGGTGGTGCCGGGCATTCGATCAACATCGAAGGAGTCCTGGGGTTGCCAGCACGGTTTTTGCAAGCCAAGGCACGAATAAGGTCTGATGGAACTAAATAAAACGGAACAGAAAAGACCTTACACCTTCCTGAAAGAAACCACCTGTTTGGCACCTCCAGTGTCGGAAAGAAACACGCTAGGCTGATCCGGATGTGGTCTCAGGTTATCACTTATCACATGAGACATTCCAAAGTAACGGTCGAGGTTTTCCTACAAGCGCGTAATCATATAAACCAAACTGGCACCCTTCCATGCTCCAAAAACAGCTGGCGAAATCGTGCTCCCATGTGGCAGGGCTTCGAACTCAGCACCTATTCACTCTAACTCGATTCGTCTCCGCTCATACCCCACCAGTTGCTTGGCGCAGGTCGGATCCCATCCGCCCCACTCAGCTCCACACAGTGTGCATCGTTCGCTGTGTCCCTCCCCGTGATGGGTCTCTTCACCTGGAGCCCTGGCTCCATCCACCACCTACGATCCAGGCAGGTCACCAGGTCACCAGGGCGTGACCCATCGGCCCGGTGCGCCAGGTCTTCTATAGCGTTACACGAGGTTGAAACCATCCTGTTGAAACCATCCAGAAATCGGGCAAAGATACACTAGTGTGCAAATCTGTTTTGGGTTGAAGTCTTCCGCTGATAAATTGTTCCCCGCTCCCGGGAAAAGACCAACTGCACCAAGCTGCAGCACGCATGTGGTTGCTAGCCTCGGCAGTCGCCGAGGCTTGCCACTGGTCCATGGTCGGGTTATTGACACTCAAACCAACCCCAGACACTCCATGCACTGTATGCCATATATATATATATATATATATGCCTCCAGCGACCCCCCAAGACTAGCCCAATGTAGGCAAATATGGCAGTCCCATGGAGTGTCTGGGAACCATGTACAAAGACCGCTGACCCGAAGTCTGTGCTGTGGTCACGTTTTTCTCTCACCACAACAAGACCATCACGCGCAAAAAGGGCTCATGATGGCTCATGAATTGTATACTTACTCCTTGCGTTTTCAGAATCGACTTTGACTCGAATATCTTGCAAGTAGCCATGCCAGTTTGCCAGGCTCACAATAGGGCCTGCAGGGGAGCTGGGAACATGTGGCCAATCTGCGTTTGCGCCCACGAAAAAGAACGCAAGAAAAACATAACATGAAATAAGCAAGTTTCTCTGCAATCCCGTCTTTTTGCAACCCTTGTCTTATCTTGTCTATGTCTATCAGATTCTCTTTTCGGCCCCCACCTCCACTAAGCAGCTCCTCCCCCACACCTTCCGTCACCAGAAGCGAGAAGCGATCATCCGCCCTCCGTCACCCTGCCTCCCCAGCACCGCCGGGGCCAGCTGTTGCATGGCCTCAATCCTTCCGTCCTGCGCCCATCGGTCGAAGTCCGCCCAGGCGTCCTGGCGATCCGCGGAGACTCTCCGCGGTAGCTGGGGAACCCGCGAGCCCAAGGGATGGGCCTGAGCCCGCGGGGGAGGCTGTTCAAGTACTGGCAAGGTTATACAGGCCTGTATTTGAGCTGCACAGGTGCCTGTGCTGCTAGGTTTTGGGAATGGTATCACCTTGGATTGAAGAGTGGATGTGGATGTGCATGTGCATGTTGATGCTGATGTTGTTGATGATGATGATTGATTTGTCTAAATATGCTCAGTCGGCCCATGCCAACTCCAAAAAGGGTAGTAGATGCATTGCCGCAGGCAATAGACCCAAAACATCCCAAAACCAAAACAAACAATGTCCGCAAACAACGTCCTGTTTATTGTTCCAGTGGAATGACTCGTCCTCTGCATAGTTGTTGAGTGGAGCTTCTCCACTTCGTTCAACAAGCTTGTCATCATGACATGATGTCTCTGGCCAACTCGCTGAAACTGTAACGTAACCACTGCATGTGGTAACTGCGAGTTGCCACTACTTTTGCACTTTAAAGCCTTGCTATGAATTGCTATGGACCACCCTTGCATGACCCGCCCAAGAAACTTAATGATGCATGTCAGCCAAAACAAGTGTAACAGTGTAGCCCCCTTGCGCGTCAAATGCGCGTCAATTTTGAGATATATTTCTGAGAGGGGCAGCGTTGCGGACCGATTTTCCTCGTGTTCGCTTCTGATCTCTTGCCCAGCCGATCCGTCGCCTCACCAAATCACTGGTCCCTCATCAGGATGGATCTTTCCCGCTCCTTTCATAGGGCACTTCAGCCCTGGATTAAGGTTAGCCAGTATAGCTGCGCACTCGCGCGAATCTCCAGCGCCGATGACCAAACCATTTGATAGACAAAGCAGAACACAGAAGGCACTAGCATCGCATTGCCGTTCCTCCTGCACAGCCATGGCTTCGTGTAGGCCTGAATGAGGCTGCGCGGGTCCGCTCATGTCATGCAGTGCGCTTCTTGGAGCTTCAGCACGGACACATCCCAAAAGGTGAATAGTCTCGCCATCTGCCAGGTCCAGGTTCTGTAGTGGAAGAGACATCGAACAGCGCATCGACCAAAACTCCGCTCTGCTACTTCAGCAGAAAGGGACGCCAATGGAAACAACGCATGAGTTGGTCTTCAGTTTTTGGGTGCATAGTGGACCTTGACCTCTTGAAGCCATTGGAAGACACGTGTGGCCATCACCTTCTGGGCCTTAGCAGGGGGTCGCAATGTGACGCACTACTTGGCTTAGTCAACATACTGGTACGAAGTGACAGTGTTCCCTAGCGTTATTCCTGGGGCTCGGTACTAGTTCAAATGTTTTTCCTGCTTGGGCGGGCCAGGATCTCCAAGGACAAATGACAGAACAGTGGACGGCAATGCAGGGGCAAGGCCCTAAAAATAGTCAAACACGTGCGGTGTTAGGGGGATAGGGGGAGGGCGCCTCACCCCCAAAGAGAAGCTGTAAATGTATGTAAATGTGTTAAACAATCATCAAAAAGTCCGAGACTGACTGGACATGCTTGGATGGGTGTTACACCCCTACACCCCCTCCAACATGATGTGGATCCCTATAGCCCTTGAAAAACCATCCATCCCGAATTCCGCTTGTCGTCGCTGTCCAAGTCTGGAGACCTCTTGGCGCTTGTCCGGATGCCACTCACGAAACCTCAGAGTGGTGCGGCACATGTTTGATGAGGAGTCAGGCACTAAAAATTGGAAACATCAACGCCTTAAAACAGCAGCTCATAGTGGTAAAACTCTTTTGGACTTGGTTTCCGGTTGCCTCCGTTCCACCCGCACGTGCGTGTCTTTGTATGTGTGTGTAGTGTAGAGAGGGAGAGAGGGAGACATATCTCTCGCCACAAAGCGGTCAGAGTATATAGCCGCGGCAAAATCAAAGACTCCACCTGAACGACCAAGAGTACCATAGAAATCTGAACTCCCAAGTGGTGGTTTAGGTGGGGGATGGTGGGGGGCTGGCAAAGACTGTCGGACTTGCACCCAAGAGCTCGAAAGGATAAGTGCAAATCTTCCAGCCAAGCAGCAACTGCTTCAGCATCTTCTGCGCGCCAGCCGCATCCAAGGACTCCAGTTGGTTGCGGAGATGCTCCACCTCTGGTGGTCAGGGTCCGTCTGGAATCCGCCGTCGACCGCTCCGAGGGTCCTGGAACTGTTTCATCTACAAGCCCCTTAGACAAAAAGTAGGTGCTCCGAATTCCCTAGAAGCGGGACCAGGATGGAGTGCCAACTATATTTCGGCCATCTAGGAGAAACTGGAACCATTAATCAGAGCATAATTTGTCCCACAACTTGTCAAATAGCATTAGATCATAAATTAACATCACAAAACACAAACTTTGAATTTGTTTCAACATGAGCAATACAATTATTGGCCTGCCGTCCCACGAGACAATCCTGGAGACTGGAATGCCATTTGGTGATCACTGTGATCACTTTAAATATTCTATCCCATTTGACAAACCAATATTTCAAAGGGACGCAACCTGAATACACTTCCGACTCGCGTGCCGTGTGTTCTGCAGCACTCGAACGGCCCACAAATCGGACGAAATCATATCGGAATTCCACTGTGACAAATGTGACAGGGTTGTGGCAAGTTGTGGCTGATCTTACCGCACGACGTACGTGACAAACCTTGCAAAACTGCCTGGGGAGAATAATCCGTACGTTCATTGTGTTCGTAACATGAATAATTGTTAGGCAACATGCACATCCTCCCTTTCAACGAAGTCACTTAGATCAGGGATTTGAATAGGAACACCTGGGCTCGCCGAAGGCCTTCGTCCGTTCGTCAGCAGCAGCCATCCCTCACCCACCCGCCGAGCCGGACCCGCTCTTCCACCCTCCCGCAGCCAAGGAGCCACTGCTTCTGCGCCTGGCTGCTCGCTTCTTGAGTTGAGTTTCGGCAACGTAAGCACACGTATACCATACCCAAACACTCCATGGGACTGCCATATGCCTACATTGAACCCCCAAAACCACCCCAACTGATCGGCAAATATACCGTACATGGAGCGTCTGGGCTAGGCACGCGAGGCGACCCAGGCGCGCGCGTGACTCATTGGAAGATCCTTACCATGGCTACCAAGCGGTGCCCAGTTCGGCGAGCCTGAACTTGGAGGTGGCTGTTTCGGCACGCGGCCTTGGTCGAAGGCAGGACGGCGTGCGATGTGTGGGTGGTGAGATCATTGCCTGTTCCGTTTACTTGTAATGCCTGACGATACTTTTCCACAATATGCCACAGGTGCACATTTCCCCGGCATCACGAACGAAAACATCGAAAACCAACAAGCGCAGTTCTTTCCAATTGCCTCATGCTCTTCTTTGGGTTTGCCGCGTTGTGTTGCTAAGGTTGTCGCCTTAAGTTTAGGGCAGTGAAACTGAGCCTCAACTCACAAACCAATGATGACCCATGTAGGGCAAATCTGCCCACCCAACTGCGCAGAAGGAACACCCCCAGCCCTATGCTGATTAACTGCAAGCAACAGGCACACATGCGTGGGACAACACCACCATAAATGTTGCGTGTTGTCACGCTGCCTAGTGTGGACATAGCAAGCCCAAGACCCTACGGGAATGCACATCTATCATCTATATAACTGTACTACATGAATCTAAACGATAAATGGTGCAAGGATGCAAACTTATGCAATATATTCAATAGATTCAATATTTGTAAAATGTTGTAAACAATATCCTCCTAGCAAATAACTCTCCAAGGTGCTGGAATGCAAGATCTTGCTCATCAATCAACCAACACAAACAAAAAAACAAATCCAGCCACCGGGCCTTCATCCACCTTCTCCGGCTTCGGTGGCTGCTTCTCCTGCGCATCAGAGCTGTCGACGGGCGCCCAGCGCCAGTGCACCAAACACTCTGGAATGGGGCCTGCGAGGGCGCGGCTGCTGCGAAGACGTCATGGAAGTCACCTAAAAATTTGATAGCAAACATGGAAGTCATGGACTACTGGGCTCGACAACGTCCATCTCCCAGCCCCTTGTGCCATGACACTCATTAGACTGAAGGGACGTGATTCACCTGTACTAATTAGTGACACTGGTGGCTCCACATGCAAACTTGCGCAAGGAGATTGAGACGTTGTGCTCAAACATACAAGTTGAATTATATATTATATATATATATATAACAAAGGCTTTACCTCTGCGAGAGCCTGCCAGCAGTAACAATAGAATAACTATATAAATTCCATTAAATTCCTGCAAGGAGCAAATTACCAAAATAAACATACGTATTGCGCAGCCTTGCTGTTGAGCGTGAATCTTGATGGACGCCTGACAGTATCTTTTTGAAGGGAGTGGGCACAAGCAGCTGGCCAAAAGGCTTGGCAATGAAATCCGTCTAGATCTGCAGCAACTAGTGATAGACGAATCTTTGTGAACCACTTGGGATGTTCCGGGAGCAATGCACTTGTTGCTAACACCATTGAATACCAATGAAGTCTAATCAGTTTTAAGTGGGCGTTGTCCTGCTTTCAAAAAGGTTACCATGGTCATGGTGGAAATTGCCTAATTACCAAGCATTACGACACTCACTCAGGGCAGGACCAGTTTGCCCCACTGGTTCATCTCCCAAAGCGCGCGTTGTTCTGGAAGGTCTTCCTGGCGCTCTGCCAGAGCGGAAGTCTATGACAGGTGGTGTCCAACCCCGGCACCTTTGCGAAGAGTACACCCTGGGACCCTGGTTCAGCAACCCACATGGAACATCATGAAACCTGAAGACCACGTCGGGTTGCCTCCTTGCAGGTGCTGTCCAAGTTCCATGCTGTAGTTTGCGGTTTCGAGTACCGTCCTCAGTCGTGAACGACGGCTCGTGGATCATTCATTCCGAGTCTCCACCTCAAGCAGCATCGATGCCAATGGATTTCCTGCAGGCGGCCAGGTGGAGTGAGATCTAAACATGCCACGGTCGGTCCAGAGAGGTCACACACGCACACACTGAATTAGAATCGCATGATTTTGGAGGACTTTCCGATAGCCTACTTCCTGGGTCCAGTGTCGGGCCACAGAGTGGAGGGGAATGACATGAATTCGATGGATCAGGAACGCCACGTGCTTTCAAAGAAACAACCGGTGCGACACGCGAACGTCCTTGCCATCGTCCAGCATGGGATTGCCGCCAATCGCTTGACGCAGAAGGGGAGGCACTTCGAACGTTTTCGAGTCTGGGCTTGGAAAAAACCGAAACGCCAGGCTGAAGTCCCGTCTGATTTGAAACTTTCGTCTCGTGAGGGTGGATGCTACACACATGATCCACACCCTCTGGGTCATCTGCAAAGGGGGTTCCGTAACAAACACCTCTTCGTGGCACACAAGTGCCCCCCTACCCTGAACATCCCTGAACCCATCAACTCCCACCCGAACTGCACGCCCACCGAAAATGTCGCTCTCCCGCACGTATATCAGTCTCCTGAGAGCTGCACTTCGGTGAGGCGCTTTAGAGCTCGAAAGCTCGCGGGCAAGTGCACCAGTTCGTTCCCAGCAAGTCCTCAGAACGTGGGGAGGCCACACCATTGCGGCCCGCAGCGAAGGCGCTTGGACCGGAAGTGGGGAGCAAGTCCTCATTCACGCGACTTGACCGGAGCATCCTGGAGCAATGGTTGTTGAACAATGGTGAAACCACCAGGAGTCACATGTCGCTCGCTCGTTGGGTACTTTGGTCCCATCGGATGTGGCAGGAGCCTTCCCTATCCATTTTCTCCGTTCGTTCGGAACCGGCACCCCGAACATGGAACGGCGACCCGTGAGACCCGACCCGCAACATGGATGACCAGCGACACGTGAGGCGCAACGAAAAGAATCTGAAGAATCTGAATGAACGCTGCTGAGAATCTGAATCCCAAAGGATGCTCAAAATGCATGGTCAATTGCAAAGCATTTCTTGCATCGTATCTGATTTATGCATCTTCAACACCATCCCTGAGATTCCCTGAGTGACAACTGCTTTGAAGCTCAAGCAGCCCAGCCATTCAAGCTGCTGAAGACTTCCTGGGACGATTCCAGGGCAAAGCTGCTCACTACAGCAAGATCGCTCGGCTCAAGCTCGTTCCAAACCAATTATCATCTGCCGCCCTTGTTTTGGGCCGGGACCTTGACTTTCAAGTCAAGGGCGTTGAAAAACACCCAATGGCCACTGACACTGTCTGGTTCCAACATCATCCAGCATCTGTTTCCAACGCAGCGTTCCCACCTAACACTGCCCATGCCAAACGTTCCCACCTCTCTCACGCTGGTTCCCACCCACACAGGTTCCGCAGGCCCACCTGCTTCAACAGCTTCCGCAGGCCTGCTTCGCCTGCCCAGGTCGCTTCCTCTCTCCCTGCATCACAGCGACCCCAGTGGCGAGGCAGCGACACTAAGCGGTTCCGTGTGAAGTTGGCAGAGCGAAGCTGTGAGAGCGCACAAAAGCTCTCCTGGGCACGGGCTTTCAGCAGGTGGACCTTGATTGGTTGATTGATGGCTTGATTTTCCTGGCCTTGATGGGTTCAACCCCGCTAAAACTCCAAGACTTTTGCTGCAAACACCAGTGCTCTTTTCGGAGCTATGGCCTTTGCAAAGAACACTTTTAGAGGTTTAGACGTTCACCACGCTCGAGCCTTGAGGATACTCAAACCCCTGGTACCACCCACTGTGGCCTCACAAGTGGAGAGCGGACCAGAGAAGAGTGAAGCACATCGTGGTGGATGAACATCCCTGCGAATGAAGACGTCCCACCTCCTCTTCATAGCGCAAATAAATAAACACAAGAAAAACTATGGGGCATTGAATCCTACTCTCTTTGTAGCCCTCGAGCCGCTGATGGACAGCTACTTCACCCTATTCAAGTGAGTTCACTCTCGGGGCTTCATCAAGAAAGCCAAATTTCGCCCCCCTCGGCCGTTGGCTCGCCAACGTCCGAGGCTCTGGCAGTCTGAAAATGCCATTTTGCACGGCCACCAGTTCCATCAAACTTCCTGAGGTGAAGCGATGGCGAAGCTCTGAGGTGACCGTAGAGGGGGAAAACACCACGGTCAAACACCACCAAAATGGCATAGGTAGATTCAGAATTATCTCATCGATTCAAGTTCAAACCCATGGAAGATACGTATGAACACATGCGACAGTCCTTTGGGAGATGAACTGAGGGTTCATCCTGCAGCTTCCAAAGAAAAATGACATCTTCCCCAAAACACCTTCCAATGTTTGTCTGCTCCCTACAGCGGAGCAGTATGTGAGTGTGGTCAAGAACTAAAGAATGTGGTTTGCCCAAACTGCTGCAACAGCTTCTGAGGCTTCCAAAGTCTTCTGGAAGTGCTTGGAGTTGGTTTCCGGAGATGTCTAGCCTCAGTCCAAATCAGACTGGCGGGAGAGAGGCCAAACAAACAAGACAGTCTGAAATTTGATTGACTCTTTGCGGATTGTTGTTGTGCAGTTGTCCAACATGAAGGAAATGCACTGGTCTTTGGATAGGGCTCCATTCAATCGTATTTTCCTTCTTCCGTGGAAAGTCTGTGAGGTGCACTATGCTGAGCACCTGTCACACGCACTTGCTTTCACCTTCACAATGTGTGAGGGTGCCAACGGTGCACAGCACGGTCACTATGACTCAGCTATGAACAAATGGGTTGCATGCTGGTTACATGTTCAGCCTCTGACCTTGCAAATGAAAATGGGCTCCTGGTTCCTGCAAATATTCCTGGTGAACCCTTCGCTCTTCTGAAACCCCTCCAATGACCACCAATCGGCATAGATGATGTTTGAAGCTTCCCAAGCATGCAGCTTGAAAAAGACCTCGCTTTGAACCTTCCTTCCCTGGGTCTTTGTATGTCACTGTTGCCATTCGCAAAATCCCCCAAACAACTGAAAGGAGGGGAGGGAACACGGTCCCTGCGATGTTTGCTGGCCTCTCTTCGTCCCTGGGAAACCTTCCATTTGCCCTGCCCTGGCATCTCCCAAGGCTCCTCTCCAAGCTCTTGAGCTCCACCAAGCTGTGGGGCAGCGCGGCCATCCTCGCTCGGCAGCTCGGCTCGGTGGGTTTTCGGGCGCCTTCGGAAGGAAGTGTTCCAGCTTCACCCCCCCGGATTTGGAATCTCTCATTTGAGCAGCTGCCTCACTAAGCACCTCTGTGTCCCGATTTGGAGCCACCATTCGGTGTCCATCCCTTTCCCATCCACCCTCACCGAACTCGTCGTTTGTTGGGCGACGTCTCAACAAGCCCAGCGACCGATTGTCCAAGATGGACCTCGGGTTCACGGATCCAGGAAAGCTCAGAGATCAACAGCTGGGGAACGGAACCTGTATAGCATATATGAGTATATGAGTTATGGCAGTTTACAGTATCAGTATACGCAGTATAGTTATTGAACAATTTACAGTTCATTACAGTACGATAATTGCAGTGCCCCCCCGAAAAGTGCCACAGTGGCATCCACGCCTGGTGTAGCATTAATGCTTTTTGCAAGGAGGTCCTAGTGTATGTAGTGAGACCGTGAAACCGATGTTGAACATGATGCGAGTGAAGCTGCAAACACCGCAGGTTCTGCAGTCGCCCGATCTTCTCCGGGAGCTCCTCCAAACGATTTCGTGCTAAATCCAGCTGCACCAGCTGCAGTAAACACACCGAGCCAGGCAAAGTACCTGGATGAGGCCACTCAAGTCCCCTCACAAGCCAAGGACAGCTTCTGAGACCCACACTGCCTTTGAAGCCCAAATCTAACGCACCACGTCATGCCATCCCGGCTGCGTAGCTGCCTCCCCTCCAAGGACAGTCGTCCATGGGCCGCTAGCGATGGCAAGGACTCCTACGGCAGCTTTCTTACCGCCCTAGGGCTCCTGGCCCACCTCCGTTTCGAAGATGGGCCAGGGGGTGGGTGCCAGGGGGGTCTAACCACCTTCTGAGGATATGGGCCATGAGCCCTAGGGCAGCTTCAAGGATCCTTCCGGTGCGTGCTGGGCAGGGAGGTGAGATAAGGCCATCCCAAATCAACCACGATCACGTACGACGACATGTCACTCTGTGAATCTATTTCAACGGGCGAAGGAGCAACAACCGTATACATTCACCGTTCATCTTTGAATGAATGAAAAAACAAACTAAAGGCGGCTCTAAGCAACAACCAACAACCAGCACCTGCTTAATAACACCAATATTTACTATATTAATATAGTATATACATATACCCCCGAATTCTCAGAGGCAGGACTTCCAAAGCCTAACTCTGAACCAACCCAACCTCCTGGGGTCCCAGAAAGCACCGGCTCAAGCTGCCCACGCTTTGCAGAAGCGCCAGCTGCAGCCATGCCCGGTGCTGCGGCGTCGTCCGCCTCGGGGGCGGCCGGAGCCTGAAAAGAAGGAGCCTGCTTCGGAGAAAGGAGGGGTTCACCGTTCAAACCCGCTCTCCCTCAACAAGCCGTGCATGTTGGTTGAGTATTCTCCCATGGTGCAAACCCAAACATCCCACGACGAAAAGCGTCAAGACTGCCTTCAGACCCCACGAAAAGCGCGAAAAGCTCCGGCCCTGTGGCTCCGTTTTGTCGGTCTTATGCCATTAATAAGTGAAAGTCCCAGAAGCATTGCGGGCACAAGAGGATTCCCAGCTAAGTCCAGCGTTTGAAGTGCTAAGCACTCACCTGAGTGGCTGTGCTGGTCGGTCCAATTCGAGCGAATGGCAGGAACAAAAGTAAACGTCGAATCATGCCAGATCTTTATTGCGGTCTTTGTCGGGAAAACTCCTAAAGTTTCTTCATGATTCTACTGTAGCTGGTGTCCATCCCAGCTGGTCTGAATGCGAACAGTTTGTGTTTATGTTGCTTGGGGTGATGGGATGCACTCTCAACTCACTACCCACACAAGCAAGAAGAGTCAGATATAGATAGAGCCAGTCCACCTGGCACATCTTCAATCACACTGTTCAGCCACCTGGCACATCCACCAGGCTCAGCCATAAGAAAAAGGCTGGAAGAAACCGCAGCTATTCATTAATTGGCCAGGTTGGCTTGTTGGGCAAAGCTAGCTAATGCCCACGCATATGGCACACACTTGATGGGGAATATGCAGTCAACCAAAGGCATGTCACCAAAGGTTCCTATCATCTTGTTGCAGCATCAAGTAGCTGAAAGTATCAGGCAAATGATCAATCCTCAGTAGGGCAAATCCAAAAGCAACCAACATGTGACACACACTCACTCTTACAGCTGTCGCACACACTCTTTAAGCGCCGGATCTCAGAAACTACGCGTGTGAACTCCAAATCTTTTCCTTCGGCCTTCAGTCGCTCAACGTTTTTGTTCAAACATGCAGTCTTCAGCCCGTCTGTGGCAACCATGCCATCCCGCGGTTCATCATCTGGGTGTCACGCGGAACATCTGAGCATCTGGACAACACAAAGCGAAGAAGCAAATGGAGCATGATTGGAGGCAAGGAGACCCCCCAAACAAATACATTCAATCAACGAAGCACATTCAACAGCGAAATATACAACGTCCGAATGATCTAAGGAAACAGTATATATGCATAGGTTCAATGGCAGCACCCCAAGATGTCCTCAATCAATTAGATGTGAGTCAACTCTTTTAATCACCAAACCTTAGAACCTCTGAAACCACCGGTTGCACCGGTTGCACCGGCGTCGCCACACGAGACTCCGCGGTGTTGCAACACCAACGTCGCATCACCGAGTCGATGGGTCCTCCGCCCACTCGAGTCGAGCAAGTCGATGGGGTCCGAGTGGGTTTTTGCCCAACCCTTTCCAACATACAAGCACTAGCAGGTGGTTGGTACAGAGAATTACCTGGAGCTAAGCTACAGGCTACAGGAGAAGGACAACATATTTGAAGGTGATCTTAAAGACCCGATTTCTGCTGCTAAGAGTCATATTGTCCGCCGCTCGCAGCGTCCTCAACTCAGGCAGCGCTCCAAAGTTGAGGCTTCCGATACGGTTGCCCTCCTCAGGAGCCAGTGACTCACAGATTGGCCAAACTACATCTTTGGTTTCATCGGGTGGTGTGAGAACTTTGAATTTGATGCTGGAATGGAATCTTTCAGGATTTCAGGATGATGCATTACAAAAACCAGCAACATTACTAGTATGACTGTCCTTGTATAAAGGTGACCTTGTGAGGTGCTAGAACCTTCTCAGAAGCTGGGGCACTCTCCCCAAACTGAAGGTCAGCTCCCACCCTACCAAATCCCTGATCTGGAGAAACATGTTTCTGCTTGACTCTGCTTGACTCTGCAACCGCTGCAACCGCATTTCATGCACATGGACCAGCATGGAAACCGTGACTTGTTTAGATCTGCACGTTCCCGTTGGGAGGGCGATCCTCACCACAGTGCCCTCCCAGCATCACAGATCTGTCACGGTGCCCAGCGCCCGAGCTTCGATGCACAAACTCTGCAAAGAGCTCAGCTCCGCCAAGGTCTTGGGCAACTTCATGAGCCAGTTGTGCGAGACATCCAAGTGCGTCATGACGGAGCGAGCGTGGCCATCCCAGAGAGAATCCGGCAAAGCCTGATGGAACTTGGATCGGCTAGGCTATGGCCCATGCGTTCTGCTCCTTGGGAATCCCCAATGGTTGGAATTGGAAGCTGGTTCGGCGTATAGGTTTGCATACCACTACAGGACCGCCACGGATATTGATGTTTCACTTCTATGTCTCTTGTTGGGAGAGTGAGTGAAGAGTATCTGTGGGGCTCTCTTTGTAAGTGGCAGCTTGGGAGCTTGCAGCTGGTTGTGTGCGACCTGCATGCCCTGCAAGCAGCATGGCAGCTTGTCAGGCAGCTCCGTCACCTGTGGCAGCGTTGCCCCCGGCCAATTCTTAGGGCTGTCTTCGTGAAACAGGCACCGTCTTCGTGCCCCCTGCTGGTGTCCATAAGTAGATCCAAACCTTCACCGAATCCATCCTTATCCGTATCCCAAACACTTGAAACAAATCCAAACAATCCCTCTAAAATCCCTCTAAAAATGCATCCTTATCCATCCAATCCCTCAAAATGCTTCAAACAATCCCTCTAAAATTCTTGACACCTTTCGCACGGCGCCCCGAAACCATGCAGCCCCCAAACACCGAAAACCACGGCCACGCGTCAGTGAGGCCGGTCGGAGTCGGACGAAGAAGTCGTCAGCATGCGTTTTCGCCTCGTTCTGGGCCATCCAAAGGGTCCGCAGCGAAGAAGGCAGCTGGGGCAGCCGCTCAAAGCCTTGGCCATTTTCGAGGCGTGGCACAGATCCGGAGCTATGCGTAGCTATAGGGAAGCTGGTGTTCGCACGACCAGGGTGCAAAGCCAGTTCGGAAACTGGATGGAATCTGTTGATCACTGATCGGCTTGAAGCTTCTGCTCACAAAAAGCACCGCCCAAACACCGCAGCGTCCCAAAAAATCCATCTGTGATGCACCAAAACACCTGTCCCGCAGCGTCCCAAAAACATGCAGCCCGGCCGATCTGGAACTGCCTGCGGGTGCTTTCCAGGCTGAGTGTTGTTCTCGGAATTGGCACGCTCAGGGCGCGCTAGACCCCACCAACACGAAGCTAAAGGCGTTCTCCAGGTGAAAACATGACGATCTTTCACCCAACTGACGCGGGTGTTCGGTTTCCCTACAGCCAAATGGCTGTATATAATTGTATATCTAATCTACACATATATACACTTGGTCCGGGGTTCAGCTGACACAGGTCGCCTATGGGGGATCACCAGCTTGGGAAGATGCAATAAGAAGGACAGTGGACACGAGAAGAAAGAGAAGACAAGGAGGGAAAATGGACCTGAAATTCTTCTCGCTTCAACTTGTTCTCTCCCTCATGTCATGGACAGCATGCAACCACCCGCCGCCCAAAACTGTCTGGACACTAGAAGCTGCTGCCATGCTGTCCGTCCCTTCGACCCGGGGTAGAATTCATATATCAAGTATGGATACTATACATACCGACCATGAGCCTCATGTGCTTCTACATTGACCTTCACCTTTCAGAAACCAACATGGTCTACTAGTCTACCTGACATATAGCCTGACACATGGCAATCACAAAGTGCACTCAAACATGAAACATCAATGTCCAGCCCTTCGCTGCTTCAAGGTCCGCCGATGTATGAACTCCAATCGCTCGTGAGCGTCGAACATACCGACATGGATTGAATGTCGGCAGTGACACCAACCCCTCCACCCTTATGGACTTACGCAGTTCAAGTCGCTGAAGTGCAAGCCACGAAACAATTTCCCGTAGCGTCCAGCTCTTCCAAAGACTTCGGCAGAATGAGGGAGCCCAAGCAGTTGTTCCGCACATTCAGCCTTGGTTAACCAGGCAGCTCTTACCAGCAGGTACACCAAAAACATCATAAAACCATCGAACAAGATTGAACAAGCAATTGCTCCTGCTTGGCACCGGGTGAGCGCAAGCACTGCTGACATGGGTGCATTGTGATGTGCCTTGAGTGTGTCATATCATCCACCAAGACCGGGCGTGAAGAAAGATACTGACGAGCAAAGACATCATTTGCACCCTCAAATTATCCAAATTCCATGAGACATGAATGAAGCAACAGTCATCCGTGCCAATGTACATACCATGCAATACCGCCACAGCATCCCTACATGGCTGACCGCCCCTGGGGAAGAGCATCAAACAAAGGCCATGTCCCATCTCAAATGCAAATACATGCCCCTCACCTCCCTAGGGGTCAATTGACGCCACTCCCATTCCACTGCAGGCATTTTGGTGAATTAACATGACCATTTCCACATGCATAATTGGGATCGGGTCTCTGTCTCTTTGGGGGCATCTATACTCGATTGAAGGAGGTGAAAGAACTTCTTGTTGCACAAAACTCCCGGCATACACTGGTCTATCTAGAGCACGTATTTAATAAATCATATACTGATTTTTGAAGATCCCCCGACCCAAAAGAGCTTCACTAGCAAATGACTCCACGTCGGGCTTACCCTGCCGTCCGACGAGCCGTTGTTCAGAACATTCCACCGCGGCCGTGCCTGCGTAGGGCGTCCAGATTCTCCAAGTCCAGCGCGCGAAGCCTTGGAAGGACGGTGCGGACAATGCAACGCGCTCCCCAAAGAGCGTGTGAGAAACAATATCTGCTGGAAACAAGGTAGCCTCCGGGATAAGTACAGTGTCATACAAGAACTATTGACATGATCATTCCCAAACACTCCGGACTGGAAAAATTATGACAAATTATCATGGATTGGATTGCTCTGACAAAACACATGTTTTTCAAACGCATACGCCCTGGAACCTCACACCTGTCGTCACGTCGAGAAAAATCGGTCTGCGCTACGGGGAGTAGGTCGGATTTCACGGGCGTTCGTCGGCGCGTCGGCGCGACTGGACTCTCCGAGTCCGGTTTCTCCGGTGCCGTGTTTCCGGGGCGTCCAATGTGTTCTGGAGCGAACGTCGAGTTCGAGTCCGTCACGTGAAGACGCGGTGCGAGCGGAGGTTCGGAGTGCGCCTGTGAGTCACATCCAAGAAACTGGAGGACCAAATTCCACCCAACTCCTTGTGACTGCTCGGTCCTTCACGTTTTTGGTGTGACTTCTACTTCTTCTCTACCATCAATGAACTGTCACAATGGAATTGGCACCAAGGGCATCCACAACTGATTGGACACCCATGAGACGACCAATCTCTCACGTGCCAGAGCCCTCTGTCTGTTCCAATGGATATCGAAATATGTTTCTGGATGTCTCACGTCTTTTCACTAGAGCAAGTTGATGATCTCCTAATATAACGCTCAGAATGTAGAAAGTGCTTAGCAGATCTTAGCAGTAGGAATCTCCAGCACTTTTACCAATCAGAACCTTCTGGAGTCCTAACCCACATGAGAAAACTATCACATGCACTCACGCAAGAGCATCCACTTCCTGGCGAGAGCAAAGCAACAAAACACCTGCTTTAGGTTGAAGGAATCTCATTGCTCTTGGACAATGAGGTCAAAACAATGTCCAAGACAAGTCTGAAGTTGAGGGTAAGTCAGTGTCCTTTCAACATCTGCTTGGTATGCGTGCCACTGCGCGCATACACCCCACCCTTCGGGAGCCCAAACCAAATTCTGCCCAACGCGTTGCAGCAAAAGGCGCTGGTTGTCACCCAGCTCCAGTTCCCGCAAGGACTCCAACTTGGAGAAGCTCTCTGGAAGGCACTGCAACTGGTTCGCCTGGTATGGGCGGAGCAAACCTGCCGTTCGGTCTGCTCGTGGCCCAGTATCTAGCTGGTCTGCTTGGTCCTCTGCAGAACGGAGTGTTTCTAAGGTGATCTTACGTACAGGGGACCTGTGTGATACAAAGATTGACTAATTACGGAGTTCTTCAATGCAGTAGATCACCGATTGGATATTCGAGCTTCAGTGTCTCTTGCTCGGAACATGGTGTCAATCTGTGATATGCCCTGGCTGCCCTGGCTCATGCCAAAGATAAAAGTTTGAGGACACTGCAGTACTTTCAACATCTCAAACATTGTGAGTTTCAGCTGGCGTCCAAGGTGCTGAAAGGTTCAGGAGTCGCAAATCCCGAAGGCGGCCTGGGAATTGAACTCTGGTTCGACCCAGAAAGCTGAGGATAGATTGGGAAAGGTTTGTACCCTTCCCACGACTACAAACCAAACATTGCGCCCTCCCCAACAGTGCCATCTTCCGTTGCTGGCCATCGGCTTGAACCTGGTTTCGACCACCTGGACGGTCCCAGAAGCGGCTTTTCGGGCCTATGCTGCTCGGAAGGCCCTTCAGCTGACAGCGGGGTAACCTGGAGCACAGCCAGCGTGGCACATACCGCTGCAAGACTTGACATGCCCCACATGTGTGCAGCTGCAAAGTAGGCACTCTGACAGTCCGTGCCTGCCTTAAGGCCTGTTGCCCAAGGAGCTCCTGGCGTGCCACCAGGAGCAAGCAACTTCATAAGAAATGTGGAACCAAAGATGTTGATCGCTTGAAGCTGGAAGCGTTGCGATGCAACTGGATTAAAAAAGGCGCGTATCAACTGTCGTAATCACTATAGCACGGGGCTGATAAAGGTCTTATGATGTGGATCAACGTCCATCTTGGTTTGTTGCGAGGGCACGGGTCACTGAAAAAACACCTCCAGGTTTTCGCCACGTACCACCCAAAATTGAACCCGACAAAATGAAGTGGGATGTAAATGGCATGGTGTTCTACACAAACAACATGCAGCCAACAAAACAAGAAACACCGACACCTAATCTTTCAACACTCGACACCTACTTGGTATCAGCCCAGACTTGGTTGTTAAAGGACCTTATAAAAGCTATGCCATCCTGCAAAACTGTGTGCAGGGCATGCCTTGAATGGCAATCCAAGCATGGAGCATCAAAAACCTTCAAGAAGGTGGATTTGCTTCTTTCCCTGGTCTTCAAAATCACAAGTCAGTGACTCACATGGTTGGACCAGTTGCCGTGCCGACAACAGCTGGAGTGCATTGCGAGGCTCATAGAGCTAAGCGTTTACCAAGTGCTTGTTGGTTCTGTTGTTCATCCCAACTTCTTCTGCAGCGGGTGTGCCAGCAAGACATAAGAAAGTCGGTAGACTCATGTCCAAAGAAGCCCCCTTAAAGCAAGCTCTATGCCTGGGGCTGCAGGGTCTTGGATACTAGTAAAAGCGTGGGAGGCTTCAGTTGCGTGCGCAGGCCATAGAAGGTAGAGCCATACCCTTCAACACACAAGAGGCGGGAACATTGAACAGTCACAAACCCAGGGTATGAGCCATAGAAGTCATGAACCCATGTCACTCTCGGCTCGAGTGGGTGCTGTTGACACGCGAGCTCGCGTCCTCCAAGCATCTCACCTTGGCGGCCTTCAAGAAGGGTTCCAGGTCTGAAGAGGCTGCCTGAGACATCATGCTTCAATGCTTCCAAAGAACAACCATGAACAAACAGTGTATGAGTTCACGGACGGACCAAAAGATGCAACAATTGTTATCAGTTATCATTTTATAGTTATCTTGAATGAAACATCCAAAAAAATGCAATGGGGCATGATGTTCTGTTGCCTTAGTCACAGTCGTTCTGTTGAGCATGCCTGGTGTGCCAGGCATGCTTCCACTGGATCCTCGGTTTCCAACATTTTCCAACAATCAATGCTCCTCTTGGTTCTCCACACATGTCTACCCAGGTGATGTCCATCTTCGCCACAAACTCCGCCAGGCTGCCGACTCCGCCTCTTCCAAGGCATCGAAGTCCATGCTCACCGACTCGACGGACCACCGCCGCGTGTCCCGGCGGAGAGCTGATGGTGCCTAGGAAGCCTAGAGAAGCCAGCTCGGAACCCCTAGCGAAGTGCTCATGAAGAGAAGCGAAGTGCTCGCTGCAATGCAGTATAGCCTCAAAAATGGGACGTTATAGCCGTGATATGCTTTTCATAACTGGTTTCATACCATGATGCCATGGGTAAGTGCTCATGAAGAGAAGCGAAGTGCTCGCTGCAATGCAGTATAGCCTCAAAAATGGGACGTTATAGCCGTGATATGCTTTTCATAACTGGTTTCATACCATGATGCCATGGGTGAGAGGGAACTGCTTCCTTCCAGGACACTTCTGCGCTCGCGCGTGTCCGCGCGCACTTGTAGCCTGCAAAAAGCTGCAACATATAATATGTTATATTAAATACATACTGGTGGACCACCCAAATCAAAACGATCTAAGCACACAGTCTTTTCTCCTACCGTAAGAACCCCTCAGTGTGCCCACACTGCTTGGGGAAAAAAAGAGTGTGACATTTGAAAGCACAAGAAAAAGTGCCATGCTGGACCAAAAGGGCGATGTTCACGAAACAATGACAGATGTCGTGATGGGGTGTCCCCGGAGAGGTAGACGTGGACCACAAATTCACTGGGATAAACAATCTTCTCAGATTTCTGCGGAGGATTGGGCTTCAAAACACGGCCTGGTCAAGCTGAAGTGTTTGTGAGGGGCTCAATATGCTGCAAATTTCCAGTCCACAAGTTTCTGCAGTATTTCCGCAAATCTCCGCCATAGACTTGTTTGTCAAAGCAGTGCATCCAAGGGTTACCCCTTCATCAATCGTTGGAATGCCCTAAGTTGAACTGGAGAGTCTGCTGTGTAGGCCTTAACTCGTATTGTGTACTGTTGCACCCGGTGCAGGTCAAGATCTCCAAAGAGCACAAAAAATGACATACGTATGGCACTTTTTTGGGCATGGCAGCTCCAAAAAGCAGGTTTTTTGAGCTATGGCTTTTTTGCATACAAAGGTTGCTCCAGGTATGAACATACAAACACACAGTTGCAAAGTGCCCCACTGAACCGTTGATGTTAGAATCACTGGGCTGCGGGAAGATCAAGTCATGCTGTGTGAACGACTGATGTAAGCTGCCACACACACAGACAGTTGCCTCTTGAGCGTAGGACTCAGAGTCCATTGCACACACCAATTGGCAGCTCAGGTCTACTCCAGGTGCTGGGTTTCAGATAGGTCTACTTCAGTAGATGTTTCATCAAACACACTGGTCTCTGCCACAAACTTTTAGACAACCTAAAACTTACGGCAGCTGATCTCCCCGACCCTTCCACAAAACCCACCAGCCAGGTCCTGGGAGTCCTTGGCAATGCCACCACTTGACTTCAGCAGCACCTTCTCGAACACGCCTCCCAGCTCATGCATCAAATGCCTCAAGGCACCAAAAATGAATGCGACGGCGAACAAACAACTTATATCCGGTCCAAAACGGGTTGGTTTTCTCCCGCCGATGTTTTACACCGGCGGCCGGAGTTGGACACAGCATGGCGGAAGGGTCAGGTGGAGCAGGCTGGGTGCCATCACAAGGCTGGGCATGCGCCGCGGATGTTTAAAAAGGGAGCCTAGGGGGCAAAGTTTGATAGAAAACGCACTGGTAGTCCCGAGTGCCTCTTGGGGGGACCTGTGTTTCTTAAAAGGTGGAAGTTCGAAGGGATTAGTAGATGGCACAAGTTGCAAACCTTGACTCGCTCCACTTCTAAAGCTTGAACCAGAACCAGGTCCCAAGGGAAGTGCCAGCTGTGAACACACCAAAGATCCATTTGTATTCCGTGCATGTTAGGCCATGACCACTGGCCACTAGCCATGCAAGTGGGTGAGGGTTTCTGGGACGCAAGATGCAACCTGAACCAATTCAGTCTCCTTAATCCGCCTACTTTCCGCTCAGGCCCCCCCCCGCCAGTGAGCTCCGCTCCGTCTCTCAATCTCGACCCCCGAGAATTCTCAGATTCTGATCCTCCTCCATCCTGCCCATTCCCCATCGAACTCCAGCTGAAAGAGGCAAGAGGAGATCAGACTCCGGCGACTCGATGCAGTCGTCATCCTCAAAGTCTTCCAACTTCAGCTCCCACCCCACACCTGTGGGAGCTCGAAGCCCTGAGTGGGAGCGAGGTCAACGTATGGGGTGAGGTGTGGTGAAGTTCTTTTCGAACAGCTGTGGCGCCAGAACAATCGGAATCGGCCTGTGGATGGAAGACCATAAAGATACATGGGGAAATGTATTCGCTCGGCGCACAGAATGAGGGACTTCATTTGATCCGTGGTGGGGATGATGAGCAAAGGCAGTCTTGTGTCCATCCACTGTGGAAGGCATCGAGTTTGCCCATCAAAGTCGTGCAATGTTTCCCACGTTTCCTTTCTGGTCAGCTGCCCAGCTTCCAACAAGTGCTAGCCAGAAGGCCGGCCTGCGAACGAAATGCAATCTTCCCACCAAACAATGCGGCATTAAAACAACCTCACCTCCAGGCCAGCTGGCCAGGCGAAAGCCTCACCTCCAGGCCAGCTGGCCAGGCGTCAACCCGATGACCACACGAGGAAAAGAGCGCACATGAGCGAGCGTGATAGTCTGTTCACACGTCGATTCGTATGTTCGGCAGATCGCTGGGAGTTGCCGTATCACACCAGACGAACGTCTGGTGCTTGGAAAAAACCGCATGAATCACCTTGTGCCGTGCCTGAAGCACACGGCGCTGGGCATGTTCGTGCGTCATCCAGGCATGGGGTGTCTGGGTGAAAACTGCGAGGAACCTGGGGAAACGATGAAACCAATTAGTTGATCAATGATTTTGCCTCATGAGCAATTCCCTTACGTGATGCAGAATGGGTTCACACTCTTTCGAAATGCAGCCACCTTTTCGAAAGGATCTGCTTACTACATGGCTGGTGAATTTTGAGCATCGTCATGAGGAGAAACTTGTTCAGGGCCCGGTCATAGCATTCCAGTTCCAAAGAAAGCTCTTTGATGCTGCTCTTCATACTACATGAGACATGGGTTTGAGCACTCACCGCAGCTGGAATGCTGCTAGCATACTGCTCATGTTGTGCATTTGCAGGTGTACTTCGGTCATAAATGGAGGACCCACTGTCCATACAAAACAAGCGCCACCATCGCGCAGTGGTTTTTGGAGTGCACCCCCAACATCATTCGCTTCCAAAGACTGAAAACTCGAGCATGGCTGTCCTGCCGCACCCGCGCCAGTTGCTGTCATTGGGTTGGAGGTCCTACTTACTACTTGACATGCAAAGGGCAAAGCACGCTACAACTGGGACTCCGCTTGTTCTGGATGCCGCCACCACCAAAAAAATAAACATCCACCAAAGGATACAACACGAGTGCATTAGAGCATGGTTGATGGCAGCCTTGGCAATGTGTCCCGCCCAGAAAAAGGTCCAGTTCCATCCAAAAGCCTTCCTGATGACCATCTCACCTGCACTACTCCCTGCCGGTGTGACCGTTGCGGTCAATGGACCGTACCAAGCGGCGCTCGTCACACCGGGGTCAGAGCAAGGTACCAAGGTACCAAGCGGCACCCACGTCTTATATCCGGCAAACATGGCGTTCATTCTCAGACCGTCCATGAAAGATAGACCCAATGCAAGTAACAATTCCATACATGGAATGGTCTGGGATCGGACATGCTTTAAAAGGGCCGCACGGAAGACGGCGCAAAACATGCAGCTACTCCAGCTCGCTTTAGGGCGGCCCGCCATTCGGAAATCGAACAGGAACACAACACAAACACATAAACGAAAGGTGATGATACAGCAGGAAAACAAATGCAGCCGATGCTCCTTCTGTGACCTAGCACTTCTAGCATTGCAACCACTGCATAGTCAGCAGGTTTTGGGGAGACACGAGTGGGCGGTGTAACTGACATGAACATTCACTGAATGGTGACCCTTTGGCCCCTCAGAGCCCCCACATCGGCCCAAGCGCCCAAATCTTCTGCAGCTGGAGGGAAGCCCTTCCGAGCAATGAGGGCATAGCCTGCAAAGGGATGGAAGCGTTGATCCACTTTTTCCACCCACCATGGTACCGCATCGTCACACAAATCCTCCACCGTGTGTAGCTTCTAGCTACGGTCGTAGCTTCTTGTTACTAGTAGTAGTGGCCTCCACCCTAGTAGCGATGGCCTCCACCTAGTAGCGTCCTTGCTACTAGCAGTTCAGGTAACAAACCTTTTATCAACCTAGATGAGCACCCTGAAGTGGTCCAAGCTCGCCGTTCCCCATTGAGTTCTGTTCATTTTTCAGCGGCCTTCATCGGAGGAGACCACCGGAAAAAGCTTGGCTTGGATCACCCGCAGGGACTCCAAATGCTCCTCGACCCACAGGGATGGGCTGGCGTTGTTGTTCGAAAAAGCTTCATTAATGAGTGGCCACTGATCTTGAGACTTCTTACGGTCTTTCTTCATTTGTTGACCCCATCAAGTCGCGAGCTCAATGGCATAGCGTCTTTTTTCGCATCTTCTACGCCTCAACTCTCTGGAATCTCAAAAGGTATGCCTGCCAGCGCCTTCCATGAATCAACCTCTTGAGGCTTGACTTCCCATCTTCTCAAGTATCTTTCTGCAAATAATGTTAAACATGTGTGTTCTTGTACCAACAGAGGTTGAAGGACCTTATAGACTATCCCAGTTCGGTACCCCAGTAAGGTCCTATAAGGTCACTTAACCTCTCTTGGTACATTCGTCTGGTCATTTTTGCCCAGCACATGCATTCATCTCCTGACTGCTTGGGCCCTGAAGGCCCACCAGAACCACCTCAGCTAGTGACGAGGAGAGACGAGGGTCAAACGGTCATGACGCAAGGCACAAAGTACCGGAATTCACACCCTACCGGGTTACCGGACAGGATAATAGAAGATCTATATACTGGATGTAATGATATATATGATTATCATGTTGGTGCAGAACAATCTAATCGTTGTGGCCTTGTAGCTCAAGATAGGTGTAAGCAGGTTAGCACATTGGCCACTGGCCGCTAGTTGCACCAAAGGGCTGTCTCAGAAGCCAGGCCAAGCAGATCCTGACAGCTACAGTGGAGGAGTGGAGGTCGCCACCAGTGCTTCCAAGGATGTGTCTCAAAAGTCAATCCACACATGACACACATCCACACACACACACACACACTGGCAAAAGCAACACAAACTACCCGTGGGTCCGAGGGTCTTCGGTGTTTGCCCGTTGCTCCTGGCCTTACTACTAGGAGCAAGGACGCTACTAGGGGCTCCTGGACTAGGAGCATTCTTACTACTAGTAACAAGAAGCTACTAGGGGCTCCCGGCCTTACTACTAGGCGCAAGGAAGCTACTAGGAGCGAAAACATGATCCTTTGACGGCCAACGTCTAGTCCAACGTCTCTGTGTCGGACATGCAAAGGTCTCTGTGTCGGACCCATTGAGGTGACATTTGGCTGTGGGTCAAACCAGGGTAGATTGACCGACTAGTCCACTAGTCAGGTCGTCCATTCCATTCCATTCCGACTGGTCAACCCTGGTAGCCCACAAAGGGGTGAAACACACATTTGCAAGAAGCCCACGGCATGCTCTGAACCAAAGGCCCCCGTCCGGAAAAAATTACAAAACAAGGCCCCCGTTTTTTGCCTAAATCATTGGCTTCTCCCCATATCTTGGTCCTTCTTCAGCTTCACAGCCTTTCCTCTGCCATAGCTTTCGGCCAGTATCACCTCGCAGCTCAGCGAGGCGGCGGAGGCCGATTGTAAGGGACAGCAAGCAAACTGCATTGGTACACCTCTAGTGGCAAACGCACCAATCATGGTGACAAACACCTCAGTTACTAGTGGTCCACCCAAGGGCCCAAGACCTGAACATGGTCGACATGGGTCTGCGCATGTTGAGGAAGCACTTTTGCCAAAACAACTGCTCACGTTTTCATGTGATTGATTCAGTTTACCTTGAGGGAGGCCCCGAGGTACACCGACCTCGGGGCCGATCCACTTCGGAACAGTCATCAATCAGGTTAAGCGAGGTTAAGCGTCTTTTCTTCGAGGTCCCACCGTGGGATGGTGTCTATAAGCCATCTAAGAACATTCATGTCTGTGAGGCTTAGATTACAAGCTCCCCTCATTCGCACGGATGGTTTCAAGGCAAAAACCTCATGCTCCCAAGTGGTCACCACGTCTCCGCATGCGGCCTTTTGTGTCAGCGGATGGAGGGCCACCACGTTGACCTCGGTCTTCGGATGCAACCGAGGTCGGACCCAGTCGTCGTCTTCGGACTTGGGAGATACAAAGATCTGGTGGGTGGTTTCACCAAAAATAGGAGTCAGTGGGAGCAATCATCAAGTAAAGCTTGACAAGAAGAGAAACATTATATAAGATTATATAAGTAGGTTAGAAGACGTTAAAAGTAATTACATATCTGAAAGCATCACCGATATTGCGAAGGAACCTCCACAGCATCAGGAAGGAATGCCTTATGCATGGCTTTTATGTAGCTGGAAAATGCTATACAACATCTTATATAAATGAAGAACAACTATGCACGTGATGGAGAGAAATTGACACATGGATCTCCCAACACATCTCCAGTAAGAGAAATTGACACCGACACATGTCTGAATCACTTGGACCATTTCCAAGACATACCAACAGAGGTTGAAGAACCCTATAGGCTATCCCATAGGCACCCTGGTAGGGTCCTGTAAGGTCACTTAACCTCTGTTGGTACCCTCGTTTCGTTCCACAAGTGGTCGACACTAAGCAGCTGTTCTTTGGGCCTTGCCGGCTTGGGATCCGGGCTCCATCACCAGGAAAGAAGCCTCATGGACTTCAGCAACACGCGAAACGGGAAGTCCCGTTTCGCACAGTTGGCAGGCCAGGCCACAATCCCATGGACTCAGAAAGTGGCAAACTGCCAAACAGCCACACATGAGGACACCAACCAAATGAGCTTTGGACATTCCGCTTGTTCTTTTCTGCATGAGAAGAAAGAACACTTCTTAGCACTTGGGCTAGCATGTTGGGAGATCTTGAACATGTGCCCGGAATCACCTAAGCACAAAGAATCTTGCAGAAAGCTTGAATCTTTTGTTGGTGGTGGTTCTGGGATGGTCTCCAGCCATTGTGGGGCACTCCCAAGTGATCTTGCCCCAGATCTACATCTTCGTGCTCCCTTCTCAGCTGCATTTACTTGGCGCACCCGAGGGGAGCAAGTGGATGCTCCCCGGTACTCAACTGCGGAGACTAAGAAATGTGTACAATTGTGTGCCAGATTGTGTGCCAGTTGGGCCCGATGTTTTTCATGTCGGGCAAGAATCGGTCGGGCCTAACTTCTTTTTCCTTGTATAACTGGTGGAACTTCCGGGAGAGAAGAACAAATCTGTTCGGATCACCTGTTTGGGAAGCAACCCTGATCTTGCTTGCTGTTTTGGCGGCCGAACTTGCCCAAGGATGGGCTATGGAGGGCCGATTGGCAACAAAAAGGCTGAACTCGTGAACTCTCATCAGGAGGATAAGTCATTTGATTCCTTTGCCAGGATGTGGCATGGACCCTTCCGCGCGAATTGGTGTCTTTCAAGGTGGACATGTGGGTGGAAATATGTGGAAATGTCCTCCAGTGCTGCACACTCTTATTCGCAAATTTCTGTCATGTTTCATCGCCTTCTGGTCACTCACTCACGTGTGCTGACGTCAGGCAACTGATGGGCCGCTCTGAGAGGTAGAAGCCCACCCATCCAGAGGCCTCATGCGCGAATGAGTGACCAGGGCCCGTCAAGCTGAAAAGAACAGGCCCGCACTTGGACCGTGAATTGCTTGGTGTGTTTTTGGGGTCTCTGGGTTTCTCCAAATGGAGACCTGGGATGACCTGGGATGACCTTCCGCTTGTTTCAGCCATGCCATCATGATTCGCCGAACCAAGTGGATTTGGGCAGGGCCTTCGCTGCTCAGCGACACCCCAAACATCGGTCGAAGCTGCGCGGCAGTTGAAGCGCGGTCCACTGGTTGGTTGAGCGCCCCAGTGACCACATCCCAGCGACACTCTCTGAAAGACCCATGGAAGTGGATGGCATGGTCGGACAGACCATGTTCCTCTACAAACGAGAGGGGGTTGTCCACTTGCTGGAGGGACGGTGTATGTATATACATCACAGCGCACAACTGGATCATTAGACAACCAAAGAATTCTACACGCTCTTTGTCCAGCCTAGTAACTCGAGAAATCATGCTAGGCGCTAGCTTCCAACTCTTTGTGTTGGTTCAGGCCCGGGACCCCATTTTCGCGATGACTTTGGACAAAAACATGACCAACCCCTGACCAAACCACCCATGAATACAGGGAAAAACATCTTCCAAAAGAACTTCTCTAGGATTTCCATTTCAAGCTCCTGGCACTGCTACGAACCAGAAGCTACGCACGGTGGAGGCCATCGCTATTAGGTTGGAGGCCATCTCTTCTGGTAACAAGATCTACTAGTGACACGTTCTCCGTCCCCAGGTTCGCCAAACCCAAACTGCCCCTGTTGGAGGCCTCCCTCAGTGCTGAGCTCCCGGTCCCACCGATCGGCGGATCCGATACTGACGATGCGGGCCTTTAAGCAGGCCTCGAGCAAGGGCGGGAGGCCAGGATAAGACATACATTGATGTACTGACATCCAAAATGGGAAACGTACGCTAATTATACAAGCAACATGGCAAAATTCATATACAAATGGTCTTTTTTGTGGAATTCTTAGTTGCCCACCTTCCAATGCTTTCATCATCATCATCATCATCATCATCATCATCATCAATGAATCCAGTTTGCCGCATTCCCACAAGCTCTTTTGAAGATGAGGCTGTCTTCCGCGGCACAGTACGTGGCGCCGCCAACAGCAGTATGTGGCGCCGCCGGCTAAGGCCCCAGGCAGCCGTAGTTGCTGTTATAGAATTATGAGATGTCATGAGTCATGAGATGCTCACCACACTAGCAAGTGACCGAGTGATTGGGTAGCTCCTTAGCCTCCTGTTCGTTAGCTCCTTCCAAACCACAGGTGTCCTGTGGGAAACAGTCAACAAATTGTGGGTCCAACACACTCCACGAGCGGAACCGCGCCTCATTGTTGACAGCTAGCCCTTGGAGTGCAAAGGAAGCCTCAGAAAGCAGTCCGGTGCTCCAGGTGTGTCAGGGCCCAGATAAGGACAAAGGGATGAGATGCACCTTCGCTGAGCATGTCTCAAGGAAACTCAACTCAGCCAGCAAGCCGGATCTCGATGCAAGTAGTGAGTACGCTAAATACATTTCTCTACCAAGAGCCTCATGGTAACGTACACCACCACATATATATATATAATATGACTACAGTATACTACAGTGTTTAGATGGATTTAGCACTGACTGAGCACAGGGTGTCCACGTCTGGATCAATAGCAACCACTTGCTCAACGGTGTTGCCTTCAGATTGGATTGAAACATTTTGAAACTGATGCATAGGGAAAAAAACACACATAGCATCACATAGCCTAAATATCTGAGAGCAACAATCTGAGACCGGCGCCAGCAGGAAGTGTCGCCACATCGTACATCTACCCAAGCCGGAAGAGTGCACGTATGGGCCAACAGCTGAAGCTGCTGAAGCTTGTAGACAAACGATCAAAAGGACCGCGTGGTCAGCACATGTGCAAGATCTTCCTGCTTGCTTCTGCTTCCGGCCTTGCAAACTACAGCTGAACTTTCTCTGCGTTGGGTTTCTATATGCATTTGATCATGTGAAGCTCCTCTTCAACCCTCTTCAAGCAGTTCTTCTCATTGAGATGGGCCCTTCCGGTCGGCAAATCTCAACTGTCCGTGGTTCTTCTATCTCCTTTTCCAACTCAATGCCGCCAGTCTCAGTCGAGCAAAAGGGACGTGGCGCATCAAATCCATCTGCATCCTATGATGTCAAGTTGCACAAGAAAAACAGGCACCAACAGCGGCAAGGGACATTACAGCAATTGGGCATGTCCAAGTTCCATTGTTTAAACCAGGAGCTCATGCTCCTCCCATACCATTGTTCTTCTCCCCACAAACAACTGATTCTCTGCTCTCAGGGTTGCCAAATGTTGCCAAGGCTCAGGGAAGGCATGAGCTGTGATGGCCCAGGTCGGTCACACAATTCCGCTCTCTTCCGTGAAGATGATTCTGATTCGCCCCAAAATGAAATGGTTTCCCATAGTCTCCGTTTCTACTCTTGTCGTCACAAACGGTCACAAAGAAAACGGAGCCTTTTGACGCCCAAGCGATCTTCATCAGCCCTGCATCAGCCGATCTCAATGATTTGACGGTTCTTATTCTGCTGTCGTCGCAGCCACTTCCTGACAAGCGAAACCAAACATCTGCAGACTCAGACTGCGTTTCGGCCTCTAGAAGAACACTTGTCTATCAACTCTCTCATCGCTCGCATTCGTGTAAACGAAGCCTTCCCAGGAAACAACGTTTACCACCGCAAAACTAAGGTAGCAGCCTGCGAAAGGGTTTGGAACATTTCTGTTCACATGTTTCCCTCTTCCATTGGCCCATCTGATCATCCACCTTCATGACATTCCCGCAAGCCAACCCCACAGGAGAATGCAAACAAGGAACTGATACCACTCCTCTTGCTTGTAGTCCTCAGTCCATGGTGATTCATGCGGCGCCCACCTTCCAAGTGATAAGACCTTGGGTTTCTGAACGGCTTCTCATCTGTCAGAACTACTGATGAACCCAACCACCGTCCCATCCATGCATAGAGCTTGGTGTTCGGTTCTCGGGAAGCGACCACAGTCACTCGTGGGGTCGTCACTCTCATAGCTCATAGCTTCTGCTACGCTGATCGTGATGAGTTCTCAACATCACCTCTTGAGCACACTGAACTTGGGCTGACATGGGACTTTGGAATTGTCCTAGTGGATGTCAGCTCCTCTTTTTCGAATCAACAAGGCTTGCCATCACTTGCTATCCCTGTGAGTCCATGTGCCAGCCAGCTAGCTAGTTATCTATCAATCTATCCGTCTATCTATCTAGCTATATTTCTATCATCTGAGCTGGCTGAGTTTCCCACGTCCTTCTTAGCATCAGACGGCGCGCCGGCAACAGCCATGGCATCTCGCCAGTAGCCTTTCAAATCCTCTTCAGAATATTCACCTGGGCTTGGCAGGCAGGTGTAACTCAAAAAAAAATCTGCAGCTTGAAAGAACATGTTTCCTTGGTTTGGTAGAACCAACTCAAATTTGGGCAAACTCGGCCAGCTTTTCTTGGTGCCTCCAAAAATGAACTCCCCCGGCCGCCGGCCACTGGGTGTTGATCAGCTGCACGGCTGTCCGTGAGCCGTTTAAGCAACTATAGTGAACATTGGCCAAAACGGAGTGTCGTCCTGTTTTATTGTTGGGACTTGACTGCCAGCATTTGAATGGAATTCTTACCAAAGCACTCGCATAGGCCACCTTTAGCTCTTCAAATGTGTAGATCTTTCCATCATCTGGGCACACTCGCTTCTCCTCAGTGCTGTGTGGCTGCACCCGCCGTGCACCCGCCCTTTCTGCCACTCTGCCGCGTCAGTACCACCCTCAAATGGCCATGCGGCAAAGGGCTGTGTTGCAAGTCGTATCTGGGGGGAAGCGAATCAAGTGGCCAGGGGTATGTGCCCTAGGCCTCTCTAAAACACGGGGCACAAGAACAAACCACAGAGTGGAGGGGGCTTCTTGGTCATACCGTATGCAATAGTATACATAGTACAGGTTGGGAACTCCTCGAGCAAAGCAAAGAAGGTTGTACAACGCTGTTCCAGCGTGACTACCTCTTCGTGATTTTGGCGCTGGGGACTTCAGCTGAGATCTGAGCGCTCACTCTTGCAACCGAAACACATGCTTCCAGAACAAACTAAGCAGCTAAACATAAACTCATCTACATGCGCCTGAAGATGTTTGACGAAAAGTAAAACCTTCCAGTCTGGAATCTACAAACAAAATGCAACATGCATGTTGCTTACTCCCGTCTTTCCTGCAATTCGGAATCCACCCAAAAAAATAAAAAAAAACATCAGTCTGATTCTGGGACATTGTGAGCTTGCATGTGAACTCAAGTTTTTTTGCACGCACACGCACACACACACACAGGTTCCCCGAGACGCGCGCACAATTGTTCTGCATTCACGAGGCCAGAGGGTCGGCAGGGGCACTCGAAGATGCCTGCGCCAGAGCCAACTGATTTTAACCCGTTTTTGCGGCCACTTGGCACCATGATGCTTCTGCTGGGTGTTCATCGGACAAATCCCAAACCGTACAGACTAGTGACTGCGCTTAGAGTGGTACTGTATGGTTTCTGCAAAAATCTAGAACGGTCTCGGGTGACTTGGGAGCAATTGTACCATGGATAGATGTATCATGATGTATCAGTGGCCATGTTCATTTTTTCTCACTCTGTCTTGCACATCTGTTTCACAGTACTTTGGCCAGGTGTGGAGAATCCTCCTTCAAAGGGATCTGAAATTGGAGATGAGATCCACCACCGACGGCTTTGTTATATCCAGTAATGGAGACTCTTGATTAATAACACCCCCCGGTTAGATGGTAAAACCTCAAAAAACCTTTTCATATGTGGCGTGTTTACTAATCAACATTTGATTCTACAATCTTGGAGGCATCAACACCACAAGCTTTCACCGCAGAAAGGGGAAGAAGGGGCAGCCGCATTTGTCCCGCTGCACCTCATAAATTGGGGGACATGGACTTATTAGGGCATAGCTCATGCAATTGTGTTCACATCAAATCTTTGGATGGCCTTGGCTCCGCTGTCATTGGAGGATGTGGAGCTGGCAGCGGGTGCATCTGGCGGGCCTCACGAATTTGTTCGGCACATGACGGGAAGCATGACCCCAGAAATTCCTGCCAATACATGCCTACAGCTCCTGTCCACGAAACCCAACGCATATCAAATGGATGCTAGGACATTATATGACAGTATGTACGTCTTTCTCATTGGAAGAAGAATTGCCAAACCGAGGGGCCAGCTGGCGCACATTGAAAACAAATCCCAAGGACCAGCTGGCGGTCCTTGCCCCTTTTCCCGCGCCTATTTCGATCACATGGTTTGGCTGATTCCTTTGCCGTCGCAGCCACTTTTGGTACCACTCTTCGTTCTCATGGGGATGTCGAGGTGGCTCCTGCGATCGATGGTAAATCGGCCTTCCAACAAAAAAGAGAGACTGTGACTACTGCTGAAAGGCTACCTGCTGACTACTGTGTTCAAAGTAGAGCAGGGTGAGATTACGTTTCTTTTTTTGGTGGCCTCAAGTCTTGAAAGAGCAGATGAAGGCCTCTATGATATCATAATATGTGATGATATGTGTGCACATGCGTGAGACACATGTTGCCATTATATGAGCCACGGTCAAAAAATCAATTATTTATGCTAAGGATGTTTTTTATCGTTATCGTTTTTGGGGGAGACCTTATCGGTTTTCAGCTTTTAGTTCAATCAGATGCTTCTGGCATTCGCATTTACATTGTGGATGCAAGAAGCGGAGTTACCTACTCGCTGAAATCAGAAGCAATGGATGACGAGCTTGTTCACAGCTGGCTTGTCAGCGGCGGACAAAAGCATTGCAATCTCGAGTGGGTTTGCGAAATTTGGTGTACCTATCTCTATCTTAATCTTTATCGGCCTTCTGTTTGCTGGGATGTAAAATACTAACACGTAAGTTCTCAAGAAGAAAGGCTAGACCATGTCTTCGATAGGGAATTTAGCTGTCTCGTCAGCAGGCTCTGGGCAAGTGGCTATGAAAGCGGAAAACATATCCAAACGGTTATCGGTGAGTTATCGGTTTCGTTATCGGCGTAGTGGCCACATAGAATCCGGATTTTTCAAGAAATGGCTGCAGATTAAAAAAGAACAACACAGCAACAAACATATTGATTCCATATCATATGGCTGAAGCCACCCACTAGGGTACTGTCAGTGGGGCTTTCACTCGACATGCAACAGGCACCGCAAGGATCTGTCAATAATGATAATAAATACCATCATACATAGGTTATCGGTTTTGGGGGGGACCTTATCGGTTTCCAATACATCCTCACCCTAAGCCATTCACATCGACCTCTCCTGACTAAAGTAGTCTACACTTATTCTGACCCCACCTCATATATAATTTCTTGGTAGGACGATGACAGAAAACGGAAACCCCCACCCAACATTAACTTAAGCAATTCCCATGGAGAGTCTTCCATACCTGGCCAGTTGCCCCCACTGCAATTGGCCAAGACCCGCCGCGAACATTGGAATGACCAAGCGCTCAAACGACTGGCTTGCAAACTCGACAACGAAATCAATTTAGTTTTGGTGTGCTGCTCAAGTTCCACCAAACCGTCTAGACAAACATGGATAACACAAGGGAAGCGAGACCTTCATGACTGTGGTGTGTCAGGGTTCCCGTCCCCGAGCCCCATAGCGCAAAAGGTCCTCGCCTTGACAGGCTCAGGTGCTGGTGCAGCATCCTGAGTTTGGGAGGTAAAAAAGGGGAAAAAACTCCTCATTATTGGGCAAGTGACTACTTATCGCAAATACCATCTGCAACTTCAACTTTGTACCAAAGCCAGGTGCATCCAGGTACACTTGTATAGGTATGTTGCTATAATGTTGCTATACTACGCATTCCTGCGGTGACATCCACAAATCAGGGGCCAGCATGCAGGTAAAGCTTTCTTGAGAGCATTGTTGCTCCCATTTGCTGCCTATGGCAGCATTGGCCATCTAACCTCATCCGGACCATGTGACTCCGGGTCAGGCCGTTGCATAACTTGCATACCCTACATACAAAACCTCAAAAGCAACAAATGCGTCAGCTGCGGTTCTGTGTCAGGCCACGGTGATGTGTCACATGCGCTGGTCTTTTCGATTCTACAGTGACACTGGAGGGGCTTGCGGTCCTCTTCATCTCAAAACTGAAGAAGACTTGTCTATACCCCTCCTCCACAAGACCCCCGCCATCATCAAAGGTCTGAGATGTCAACCTGCACATGTGCCCCGTTGGCCTTTAAAGCACTTTAAAATAAGAGTGAGGGCAATAAAACTGATGTGCATAAAGAAACTGGTAGCAGCCTCAACACAACCGTGTTCCCCAACCCAGCTTTATATGGCCCGGGATGTACATCAGTGTTCCCCAACCGTCCGTCTCCGTTCACGCCCCGTCTCCGCGACCAAAAACCGAACAACGCCTCCAACGGTGATTTCTCCTCCTCTGCCGCTTGTTCCGGAATGCTTGGAAGCCGGGCCTCACCTTGGCAGCATCCCTCTGTCTTCTCATCATTAAAAAAAAGGCTTTCTGGCTCTGGTTCTTGAGTCTCCCACTCAAAAGCGAAGCTTCAAGAAAGCCAGGACAGCCAAAAACAGTAGTAGTGAGTTGACCCTGTTGGCCAGCCGAGTTGACTTCTTGAATGTATGAAGCATGCATACACAGCTCCGATGAGAACTAGCCGCATCGTCTCCATAGTGGGTTGGCAGTCTGATGCAGTTCAGCCCAGCCAGTGATTGGAAGACCCCCAAGAAAGCATAAACAAACAACTTGCACAAACTTGAATTACAAAAGGGGTCAATACCTGCAAATCGTTGACAAAATAATGGTGCTTTGGTGATACGTAGCACCTACTCTGGTGTGTGTGACAGTTGTAGGCGGGGTTCAGTCAGGGGTTCGTCCCAAGTCTTGGAAGAGTCTGGACCATCCTCAGTCTCTGGTTCACCCTCGGCTGCTCGGGACTGCCGGACTGCTCGGGCACCTCGCCTGCGCTGTGCAGGTGGACTGGAGGGTCCTGGCGATCGGGACTGAGAGGGGTCGCAGAATCTATATACCCTAGGGCTCCAGCCATATCCTCAGGTGGATAGACCCCCCAGGCACCCACCCCAACCATCTTCGAAACGGAGGTAGTTGGAGCCCTATGGATATATCAGCTCAAGTCTCCGCTCGCCCGATCGATGCTTCTTCTTGTATGCTTTCGGAGCTGTCTCACTGAATGCGCCAAGTAGGCTTCAAAATTGATGGCCCTTCGCGCGTCAAGAGGCAACCCTAAAAAACGGTAGACAGCAAACAAAGCAAGAGATATAGAAGAAGCAAGTGCAGTATAACTAGTCGTGCAGCATGCAGCATACCGCTAACAAGACCAAGTGATTTACTGGAACCAAAACAAGTACCTTATATAGCACGTACGCTTGTACAGATTAGTTTACAGTGAATCCTAGCAAACAAAAATGCCCAGTCTCATTTTGATAGCACTGCAAACTGAACCCCCTTCCGCGCGGATCTCTCAGGTGGATCCCCACCTCCGCGTGCGGCGTTTCCCACAAAGTATGCCATCATGTTCGGTACTGCGCCATAGGTTATTTTGCTATGTGAAAAATGTTGTAACATGTCGTAACGCATGCTGAATCTGTTGTGCTCCCATCATTGTGGAATATCACATGGATACATATACATATATGTGGAAGTTGCAACCCCCAAAAATCGCAAACAAAGTTCACCAAACCAGGGGCATACGTTTTCTTTCTGCAAGATATCAGTTCAGCAGCTGCCCCAGTGCATGTGGCCATTGGATGGCAGCTGCACTGCCAAATGGCCTGTACTCTTATCCTAATCAAAGGCCCGTGTCGCAGAGGTCTGAAGCCAAATCCAAACTCAACCATTCAATATAATAAAGAAGAGAGTCACTCCAAGTAAAGTTGCTTTCGTTCGCCGAACGCGCAAACCTCGGTCCAACAATGGCATGCATTCTGCCGTTCTGTCCTCCACATGCTCCACAGCTTCGTTCGAGACTTCAGGCGAAGCCTCACACGGAGACGGCGGCGAGGCATCTTCTCAAGTGGTGGTGCAAAACGCGCAAAGTCTGAGTCTGGTTGGATGTTTTTGGAGCCAAGATGAGCCAAGAGGATATGGTCTGATTTCGCTCTTCAGTTGCGCTGGATTCCACTCCCTGGTCATATCAATCTGATTTGAGTCGGACGGATTTCTCTCGAAGTCTTTGAGGTTGGAGGCCCGGAATCAACTGCAAACTGGAGTTTTGCAAGTCCTACAAATGAGAGGGGGGGCTTAGCTGATTAGCTGGCAAAGGCATGTTGATCCTGAGGTCATTACGGCTTAAAGCATGCAAATAGTCGTGTGCCATTGGTTCAGCACAGGGATTAGGAACATACATATCAATCAGCTGTTTACTGGTCCGGACCCGTGTGGAGGCCGCTAACTGGAGCTTGACCAAAGCGGAGGTCGAATGGCCGGGACTGGCTCCTGAGAAGCCCTTTTCCAATTGCTTAATTATCAATGTGGGGGTGATCAAAGAACTCCCTCACGCAATGCATGACATCAGCTCAACATTGGAATCACGCGCATATCATGGACTGGTTTTGTTATCCTCCTTGCAAGCCAGCCACCCAATCCTCGCGATCGGCTATCGCTGGGTTCCACTTCTCATAGCGGCTCTCATCAGCTTCCTCGTCCGGCTTCCACCATGAAGACCAATTGGGCTTGCTCCACTCGCGGTCCCAACTGCTTCCCCAAGCTCCATCCCCTGACTTCTGCCAGCCACCCTGCCAGCCCCAACCTTTATCCCAGCCGCCCCACCCATCCCAGCCCCACCCATCCCAGCCCCATCCACTTCTCCAACCATCCCATCCCCAACCACCCCAACCACCCGAACCCCCCCAACCCCCCCATCCCCCCCACCCTCCCCAACCCCAACCACCCCAACCACCCCAACCATCCCAGCCATCCCAACCAGCCCAGCCACCCTTCCAGGCGGATCCAGAACCATTCCAGGTTGACTTTTCCTCACTCGAAACATCATTGCTCGGGATGTCTTCCTCCGGAGGCTTCTCCCAGTCTTGGCTCTTCCACGGGCCTCGCAACGCCCGGACGCCCGGCGGGCCCACGAGGTTTTGCAACGCCAGGTTTGAACACAAAGAACTCCGGTGAGTTTGGCCAACGGCCAGTGCTGTCGATTGCAAACTCGCCCTCCAACCAACGAAAAGTCGAACAGAAGTCGAACATGTGTAGTCATTCAAATTCTTAAGATTGCTGGGCTCCAAGCCTTTCCATTGAGCCTTCCAGGTCCGTTCCGAAGTTCCGAAGACTGGTCACCGTTCCGAATGACCAGTTGGACCCCGTCTCTGCGACTGCGACATGCTGCTGCGACATGCCGTCTTCCTACACCTATGCCTATATACGTAGACCCACAGTCCAAAAACAACAACTCTGCTCCTGGATCATGACAGAAGATTCACTATCTTGCAATTTGGTTCCCAAATGACATGGGTCTCCGGTCTCTTCTAAACTTCCCACCATCGCGCAATTCCTGAAGTAGAAAGACTGTAAAGTAACCGAGAAACATGAGCAATTACAGCATGTCTAGAGTCTAGTCTTAGTTGCTCCAGGATGTCAAGACTGCGCGGCGTGTGAGACAACAAAAGCATCTCAGCGGCATCATCAGGTCAAGCCACAAGACTCCAAAAAGTGGGAGGTGAAAGCGACTGTTGGAACCATGCTGCTTAACCGGATTAGGTCAGGTGGGTGAACAAGGGAGCAAAGTAAGGTACTGTCGGCTTCACAACCACGGCAGCTTGGCGGATCTTGGAAGGGGTTATCCCGCACTTGACTGCTGACGGGCCTGCCACCAAGGACTCGCGTCCCATCGAGCTTCTGGCATGGCGTGAGAGTGAAGGAAGACTGCGAGTCGCGTTGGGCACTACTGGACGCAGTCAACCCAGAAAGAAACCCCACTGGGGCAACCGACTGCACTAAGCCCCCAAGACCCTTGCCGACCTCAAGGGCTTAAGCAACACAAACCAAAAATATGAAAAAATAACACTGCAATTGCACCCAACCTCTTTCCCAGTTCCCATAATCGGCCAGTGAGAGGTCTTAAGTCTGCTTAACTGCTCATCTCCAGTCGGCTTTTGACGTTCGGCGGTCCCGTCCTTCGCCCTCGGTCGCCATGACGGAAGCGACGGATGAGGAGACGAATGACCGACTATGGGGATTCCTTACATTTGGTAGGACATTCCATATAGCGGGGTTCCATTGCCATTCTCTATTGGAAGTACAACATTCCTTAGATGGTGGGACATTCCATATGGTAGGGTGGGCATTCTCTAGCGAAAGCAGGACATTCCTTGTGTGGCATGGTAGGACATTCCATTTGGTGGTCCGGCATGCTCTAGCCATTCCTTGTGTGGCATGGTAGGACATTCCATTTGGTGGGGCGGCATTCTCTAGCGAAAGCAGGACATTCCTTGTATCCTTGTATGGTAGGGCATTCCATGTGGTAGGGTGGCATTCTCTAGTGAAAGTAAGACCTTCCTTTTATATGATCGGTAATGGCTCGGATGTTGTATAGAACCTCGGAGCAATGGGCACGCAAATGAATGGGCACTCTCATGAACGTTACAAGCAAAACCGCTCGAAGAATATCATTCCGGCATGCTTTGCGCCACTGGGTGGTCGAAGTCATTGTGCACATCCAACTTCTGACAATATCCCAGTACCGATTGGTGAGAAACACGGCAACCAGAAGCAACTGATTGGTACATGCTCAACCATGGCATAGCAGATCTTGCTCAGTGAGCTCATGCTGACGACATGTGCCATGCTACCAGACGCTGCTGGGGACCCGCCATGCCCGGTTCGGAAAGGAAGAGCTTCCTCTAGACATCGGACCCCACACGGGTTTTGAACGTGACAGTGTGCGCATGGCCCGCAACATGGTTTTTCAATTTGGCACAGTTGCGAACGCATGTTTTTCATCATCCTACCCACCATGAGATATCATCCTGATGTCCGCATATGTCAGCAACATGAAAGGCGCAAATGCTGGAAACGGGCACCATCTGAGATAAAATATGCCAACAACAACTTGAACTTACACACAACTTCCACGTGTTTGATTGAAATTCTTCGACGCCTTTTTGGTCGAGCTGTGGAGATGGTCGGTGAGACCAAGTCGTCGCCGCAAGTTCAGGTTCAGCTCGGGGCCGCCGCGCCCGCTCACAAGTGAGCAGCTTGTCTGTCACGACTTCTGCCTCAGATCGGGCCATTTGCAGCAGAACCAGTAGAATATACACTGCAAGGACCGTAACTTCAGGCACGAAATTGCAAGAAGGATGTCAACCTGGAGCTCTCCATGTTCAACCTGTTTAGTTTCAGTGAAGTGGCACGAGCTCTTCAACCTCTCCTCAGATCCCAGCTCGCCAGCATCTTCACACACTTCCAGGCCGAGAAATCCTCCTGTGGGATGCAGTGGACTTGCAGCTCTCAAGCTGATCCCCTGGTGGGCGAATGTCAAACCAACCACAGGAGGATGACTTTGCAAGTGGAGCATTCAGGCAGATTTCCAAGCCGAGCTCGACCAGCTGAACAGTCGGTCTATCCCATGATCAGTGGATGGTTAGTAAAGTTCATGTTTCAAAACAGTGGTACGTGTTTACAAACTGTTACTGGTTTACTCGGACAACCCGCCCAACAGATTGAATTCAATTCTTCTTGCTGCGACCTGCGCAAAGCCCAGCCGGGTCCCCACCTGGAACCACCTGCGCCTGGTCTTAAAGACCCTTCGCTACACATCAATACAAAGAGTGCTGTCCGGTATCCACCTCCATCCATTCCACCAATCATCACCAATCATCAATGGTTTTTGTTGCTGTCCGGGGTCTATTCTCTTTATCACATGACGATCACCCCCACCCTGCTACAACCTCTTGAGGAAGGTAACCCTTCAGCAACCCCTCGCTCCGTCGACCGGACCTCCGATCCATCGGAGCGCAGCACCCAGAAGCAGCGGCTGCCCTCAGGCGAACGATCCACCTGGGCGCAGCTTCTCGGCGCTCGACGGAGCGTCGCCGACCGGCCCTGGGGACCGGATGCGATGCCGGTCTCCGAGCTGAGCAACATGCACAGAATGGATGGGGCCTACGTGGATGGCCCATGCGTTCGCAATCCACGTGAAGCACTGGCGTGAACTGGTGGACACCTCGGCGTCACCGATCTGATTACTTCAGGCGGGCGCGATGCGCACCCGATCTGATCACCTTCCAAGGCTGATCGTCTCGGCCATGTCGCCGTGCTCGGATCCAGGACTGCGACACCGGATCCAATCCATCGATCAAGGATCGACACCGGGGCCCCCCGTCATGTTGATTTTTGTCCCATCTCCCTCAGTGACAGAGACCGGTAGTACGTAGTGAGACAAGAAGTACCCTCTGACGAACACAAGTGGAGTTCACCACCTGTTTGTAGTGGAAAATGGTCTTCCAAGGGACCATTGTCCACTTCCATGTTAGTGAGTCAGAGTGTAGTTAAGTACGACGGTTTCCCTTTGTAGAATCCGGTGCGTCTTGGTCGGAAGTCTTTAACTTGACTGCGCCAGTCTTTTGATGCTTCTTGTGGCTTCTCTTACCCAGGGCATCCAGTTACCACTATACCTGGTAACCGGTGGTTCCAAAGACTAAAACCATAGACCTAGAATCCCCGGTTCCTTATATAGTGGTAACTGGGATGCACTGGGTTAGATTTTCTGACTTGGATCCCGGCCGAAGAGTTGTCCCGGTTCAGTAGCCCATCGTGCATCTTCTATGAGGAAACGTCCATCTAGCTTTCTGATGCAATATCTCCCGTCCTCATTGTTCAAATTCAGCTTGGATGGCATGAACCCGGTTTTGTTCGCTTGGGATCCAAGAAACAATATATTCCCAAACACTCCATGGGACCTGGCATATTCTCCTAAATTCACCTCTGGTCAACCACCCCACATATCCAGTCTCATGGAGTGTCTGGGTTTTGCTCCACTTGACCTTGCTTTTTTGGCGCCACCTGCCCCACCAAACCTTCACTTCTGTTCACCGTTTTCGCAAGAACATCAACGGGTGTTCCAAACGAAAAAACCCTCTGGCCACGGCCTTGAGTCCTCGAAGTCCACTCCCAATCTTCTCCGTGACATTGGGGTGATGCCTGAGATCAGATTCAAACCTTGACAATCCACCCTATCCAATCTTCGTTTTGAGAGATCGGGTGTTCTTTTTGGGGGAGTTGGCAACTCTGGGAATCTAAACACTAGGGCCCTAGGAAAATGGAAGAAACTATAGTTAAAAGGTTTACTTATCTTGACTGTCGACGTTCGTTTTCCTTCCTTCCTTCCTTCCTTCCTTTCTTGATCTGGCATTCTATCCTTTAGTATCCTTTTGTTTTTGTGGGTCTTGTTGGTAGATACACTAGCAAACATCTGGAAGAAAAGGCTGTAAGAAATTGGATAGGTGGAGGTGGCTCGAAGAGCACTCAGGGAGGTCATTGATGTGGGCCACCTAAGCACTGGACTCCCAGTCCAGCTCTCATCACTCCGCCAAGTGGCGACAAAAGCTCTTTCACCAGGTTAAACTCCTCTCCCTCCAGCTCCTCCCACGTGCACTGGGAATTGACACACAGGCGGTACGCCAACACTCGGTTGGAGTTGGGACAGCAAGCTGTGACTTGTCACGATTGGTCAACCAACGCCCTGCTGTCAAGGGTATGGCGGCTATACTCCCCAAAGAGGGGAGATGTCTTTCACCCAGAAACGACTAATGGGACTGGCATATGCCTATACCCCTCGAACCACCCCAACTGATCGGCAGTCCTATGGCAGTCCAGTCGTGTCTGAGTCATGTCCTGTACATGCGGGTCCTAGCAACCTCAGTCGTTCTGCTCCCTGTCGCTCCAGGAGGAGCTCTCCTGACATCTGGGTCCTCCACGTCGCCACTGAGTGCCGCTGATCCACGTCCGCGGCAGTAGATCAACTGATCGACTCCAGGTGGTGCTCCATGATGTTCCATGAAAATACAGCTCCATGATCATTGACGGTAAGGGCAGCTTCTGACAAATCTTCCACGATAACTTGATTTCTCTCCCAAATGACCTCGAACAGTCTCTGTGTCCTCTCCTCTCTCAGCCAACGACCCGGCCACCCGCCACCCCTGTCCCGCGCTCCTGTCCCAAAGCAGCCTCACACGGTTCAAGGCAGTCTCGCATGTCGCGACGGCCCCTTGCCCCGCTGGGTCATTCAGTCCATCCCTCGAAGATCCCCAAAAAAGCAGACCTGTCTTGGGACGTCAGGTCTGTAAGGACCCTCGGGCTACAGGTTTGTGGCGTTGACGTTCAGGTGCTCTTTAGTAAAGAGCACATGATCGCAGGTCAATGTCGGTGGGCTCCGGTTGCTGTTCAGATTCAGATTCAGGTCAACGAGTTTTGAGTTTGATTTGGCTTTCCCATGGCTTCGGAAATGAACATAAAAATCTCCCAAAAACTGGGCGAAGCCATCATCCGCGAGAAGGTGAAGCTGTGCTGCCGACACCATGTGCCATCGGTTTGGCTCCTGGACATGCCAACTGCTACCACTGCCGACGAAGGCCCTCCCATCGTCCCTTCCAGCTGTTGTATTTAACAGCAGGGGGTCCTGGCCATGGCCATTGAGGAAAACCCTCACAAGAATTACCTGGACCTTCAAGGGGTGTCCTGTCTGGAGGTCCCTTAGAGTAGTGGGCTGGGGCATGACCCGACCCATTTGAAGGTGCTGGTGCACAGGTGTCCAGCTTTGTTCGCGCCAAAGCGACCGAGCGGCAGAATGCAGCACCTTCCTCCATCCAAAGGTCTCCCGGTGAGCCGAAGACCGTGGAGATGGCACCGGCCTAGGAAGCAGACCACGAGGTGTGGGATGCTGCCAGAGGTTCGGAGATATTTTCAGTTCTGCAGGTGTTCCATGTTCAAGGCCATGCGTTTTGAGGTGTTTTGAAATCTTCAGTGGCAGCAAACTTGGTGCATTGTTCATCTACCGCACTTCGGAGGTGAATGAGGTCTTGGAATACTTGCATGGACACTGAGCATCTCCCCACCTGGCACAAAGGCAGCTACCACCCAACATCTCTCAACCACTACGTAGTCACATAACATCAGTCACAACATCCGATATGACAAGGCCTTGTGTACCCAATTTCGGGTGTGCAGCGTGCAATGGCATGGTGGGACATAAACGCAACGCTGCCCAACAAATCGCATCCAGGTGGCGCAGCGGATTCCCGCATGGAGTTGCCTCATGTCACTGTTTTCACATGGCAATGTTCAAGGACTTCCGGGGGCGGCAAAGCAAATCAAACAGCTCATAGGCATATCCAAAGGCTAAAAAGCATATCCCAAAGCAACACTCAAAGATTCACCACTCTCAGTCGCCAAGAGGAAATCAGGCAAACGAGCAGCTTGGAGATGCTGGAGAAGCCTTGGGCAGATCCCACGTGCTCTGCTGCGAAGCTGCGTGCCTTAAAGGTTTGCAGGTGCATCCCGAAAAAGACTGAAGACATTCGGGTTCCAAGAGGTCCGGATTCCAAGTAAAACCTCAATTCTGACACTTGTGAGCATACAATACTGTCACAATTCTCGAAATAGATCAAGATAGGAAACATGTGGATTGCATGGGAAACGCTGTGACGGTAGATGGAACATGGTTCCACAAGGATGGCCCGACTTAGATCTCGGCCAGTAATAGTACCGATCGTGATCACTGCTCCAAACTGCCTGCTTGGCCAGCCGTAGGTGTATGAACAAAATGATCGGGACAATGAACAATTGCGAAAACCAATCGCAACTGCCACCTTACATAATATTTGTTGCAAACAGCGTTCGGACGTGCATTCACTTCAAAATTCCTCTTGCATTGATTGATTCTTTATTGACTTGCGGCCGGGCTCCACAGAAACCAAACGCATATATGAGTCTGGGTACTAGTTCCCACTCCTGAATGCAATACCCTCACAAACACGCCCAATCAACACAATCGTCGAAGGTTCACCTGAACCTTGCAAGTGTTTGCTCTGATGGGTTTCTGGGATGTCAAATGCATTAATGAAATTATTTTTATAAGGTTGCCTGGCATCACCTTGCTTCGCTGCCTACACGAAGTCGAACATGCAAGACTTTAGAGGTGCCACATGCAACCAAAACCGCGTTCATTTCCAAGACACACTGGTTTGAGTCAAATGGATTTACAAACCATCACAATTCATCTGGGACGTCGCAACGAAAATGGATTCCGCACCTCCCATCCATTGGGCAGCACACTTGCACGTGGCTCGCTGGCCGCGCACGGCTCGGTTGCCTCGGTCGCCTCCGGTCGCATCCATTGGGTCGCCCCAGTGGCGCAATGCCAGTAGTAGTGCTGGCCATGGGCCTGGCACCGTCGAGTCGGGTCGCCTATGCGAACCTATGCGAACTTCACAAACGAAAACTCTGGAAAACTGGTGCCGAGCTCTCTGGAATTTTTTGGGACTTCAATCAGTTTCTCTTCGAACATTGACAACTCGATCCCTTGCACGTTCCATCGTGCTGGTGGTTTGGAGTGGGTGGTGTTGTTTGTTGTTACCCAACTACCGCTGGTACCGCACATCCGGCAGTGGACTTGGAGCACCTTGCTGTAAACAGCCCGCCAGTCTGGTGGCAGAAGCGCCTGCGTGATTCGGGCCGGGCGGTCGCAGCATCCAAAAACGACAACATAATGACTATGTCGGTATGTCTGATCAGCCCATTAAAACTAGTCACTAGTCTGCATTGAAATCACCTGTCCTCTTCAAAATTGAGGCATCCAGTTTCCACTGAGCCCTCATTCTGACAGCAAGCTTAACCAAACGCAAATCGACTCGTCGGGGGCCTCCGACTCCGGCCGCTCCCACTGTGATTTGCGAGTCTCGGGGTTCCAAAAATATTCTTTCCCATGCCTCAGTTCACAATGCCGCCAGTTTTGGTCGACTGTTTTTTAGGCAGGGATACCGTTCTGCAGCCAAGCGTCCTTTCACTGTAGCACACCTTCGGCAAAACACACCATGTCACACACGTTCGTACAACAAACAACATTTTTGCGAAGGTGAACATTGGCAAACATATGCCCAAAAACAAGAACAAATTCGTCATGTTGGGTCCATGTTTTTAGCCACACCTTCCACCCCAGTGGCGGGGCCACATTCGCCGCTCCACTGGCGAGACGCACATGCGTCTGAGCCAAGAACCTCCGCACGGTGCCAAACCAGAATAGACATGTCATTGCAGTTGTCACCCCAACCAGTAAAACCAACATGGATGCACAAACATGTGCACACTTCCCGCAAAAACATTGCCACTTCCGATAACCCGCTTAAGACCCACCTCCACACGGTGCCAGGGATTTGGGCACGGCATCTGCAGAGCGGCATGCTTGTCGGCAGTGGTTAGTTCTTTCTCGGATGTTTAATGATGATTTGTATGTTGAATTATAAACATTGTTGGTTTGCTTTCACAATATTTTGAACATTTTTACTTTTTGAACTTGTGGCCCAGAGGGGGTGGCGAAAGCTAGGCAAAGAAACAACGCCGGGGCTCTTTAGGCAGCAAAAGCCTGGCCGGGAATCGCAACATGCCATGGCCAAGGGAAAAGGAGAGTGCCAACAGCGCTCCCCCAATACGACCCCAACACAGCCAACACATGGCAACACACAACCACTCCAGCAACCGCAGCAGCAGCAGCAACAGCCACAACAACAATAACTGTAAGCAGCAGCGGCAGCGGCAGCAAGCAGAAGCTACCAAGCAGCAGCAGAAGCAGCAGCAGGAGTAGCTAGCAAGCAGCAGCACCAGCTACCAAGCAGCAGCAGGAGCAGGAGCAGCTACCAAGCAGCAGCAGCAGCTGCTAAGCAGCAGCAGCAGCTACCAAGCAGCAGCAGCAGCAGCAGCAGCAGCAGCAGCAGCTACCAAGCAACAGCAGCATCAGCTAGCAAGCAGCAGCAGCAGCAGGAGCAGCAGCAGCAGCAGCTACCAAGCAGCAGCAGCATCAGCAGCAGCAGCCACCAAGCAGTAGCAGCTACCAAGCAGCAGCAGCAGCAGCAGCAGCGGCTGCCAAGCAGCAGCAGGAGCAGTTACCAAGCAGCAGCAGCAGCAGCAGGGAAAGAGTGAGCTTTCCTTAGAGTCTTTCGTGCCCCAACATTTGGTCCCGAACAATAGCACATATAGGTGCTGCCTGAGTAATTGTAGAAGGGCGACGTGGAAAGACAGATATATCTGATATATATATATATATCTGTTTTTCCACGAATAAATGCTGACGATGCAGCCAGCAGCGGTGTGCATGATTGACATCTAGGGGTTGCGGTAGCATGCGAACATGTGTCAGCGACCGAAGACTCCGTCGCAACGCTTGTGCATGCTCCCTGTCGCTCGAACATGGAACGCGGACCACCATGAGTGAAGCAAACAGCCCGTTCAAACATCTTACTGGGTTCTGTCATTCATGTGTTTAGTAAGTATCATCTTTTGATCTGCATGGATAGCGGATAGTGCATTCTGATTTGTACACTTGGGGGTTGTGGGGTGGGTACATGCATGTACAAGCTTCTTAAGGATTTATAATGAAATGCATCGTTTCACGACTCTCGAGGGAATGCAACTACTCTCGATTCTAACGAATAGGCTTTCTTCAGCACCAACAGCAGCCAACAATCCCAAACAGCAACAGCAGCAAAACGGAGCAGACAACAAGCAGCAGGCAGCCAGCATCCAGCAGCAGCAAGCATGCAAGCATGCAAGCAGCAAGCAGCAGCAACCAGCAAGCAGCCAAGAGCATCCAGCAGCACCAAGGATGCAAGCAGCAAGCAGCAAAGAGCCAGGCGCAGATGAGATGCCAGCAGGTACCGAGGAGGAGAAGAGTGGAGTTGAACCCCGCGAGGGGGGGGTATAGTCCTGATATATCAGGTAACAGCACTCAGCAGCTAGCTACAGCTAGCTGCTAGCTTTCGTGATTTGCAGTTGTCGCAACTTTTCCCTCCAATTGCCATACATACACCAAGCGGCTGCGGCACAGTGCGTGTGGAATGTTTGAACATCCCCAAGAAGCAAACACGATCATACACAGCGATGCCACATTGCAGATTGAACAACATTGACTGATTGCTGGTGGAATCCCCTTGGCACCGCGGATGGCCCAACAATTGCTTGACATGTCATGTTGCGTCACCCCGGTGACGGCATGGCCGTGGGCAAGGGCGAACATCATATGAACCAATGCGCAACCAAAAACCAAATCAGCTTTTTTGCCGAGCACGCGGCATCACGCGACAACAGTCCTGGCTACAAGTAGCCTGGGTGCGTGGCATCAGCAACAGGAAATCAGAATCATTGTGCAGTTTCACCAGGATACATACATACATACATACAGACATACCAGTATATTACATTACATGACACTATTATATCACATCACATTACGTTACTAAACAAACAAAAAACAAACAAGCATACATACTAATACATACATACAACGTTGAGTGCCGCACACCCCGTAACACATTTACAACATTTTTTGTGTGGGTAATTGTGGGTAGCCTGATGGCAATGCTTCTTGCGATTTGGTGATGGTCGAGGTATGCCGCATGCCCAAAAAAACACCGGAAAATAGACCTGAACGGGTCCGGGGCAGGGTGTTGTCCTAAAATGCGTGTTCTTCTTTTTGGGGGGAAGACATCAAATCCTGAAACTACACCCGCCCCTTGTACAATACCAGGGTGGGCGTTTTGTAGCCATAACCGGTGCGCATTGACCTCGGCCCAAAAAGTTTTAGGTACAATATGACGACGAGTGACCTCACAGAAGACATTCATAAATTGAATGGGGCTGACCTCAACTCCAAAATGCATGAGTGGCACTATAAAATTGCAAGGCCTCCCTGCTTAGCAAAAAATTGGCATCAAGATTGACTCCCAAAAAACAAAAAACAACCTCATGCCACACAGGTCTAGAAACCTGTTTAAAAACATAGGGACGCTTTAGCTTCACACAGTTTGGCCAAAAGGGACCATACTATATAATGGCGAGGCATGACTTTCCCAAGCTCCACAAGGTTATTGCCACCAGTTTCAGGTAAAAATTTGCCAAACTCATTGGGTCCTCCAGGAAGATCTGGTGGGCAACTTGTCTGGCACGTGCAAGGACAACAACAAACAGCTGCAAACAAAAGCCGTGGCTAGACAAAGCTAGAGGCACCTAGAGAACAGCAAATTTTTAGTTTCAGTGTCAGAACTGTTGCCTCCCTGGGATTGCCAAGAAACTGTTGCCAAAAGTTCCCGAGTCCTTTGGACCCTTGTTTAACAAACATCAACGCTTTTCTGCCCAGCACTGCTCTCACTCACACAGGGTCCCCACAGCAAAAATCAATGACCATCCTGGAAACAATCGGTTTTTCCAGGAAACCAGGGAGTGCACCCCCCACAAGTTAATACACACAACGCTTTATAAAGGGGAACGGCCTCCGATTTCATAGTGGGTATTGGAAAGCGGGTCTTCTACAGGTCGTTTCTTGAACCTGTTGTTTCGGATTTTTTCTATCATTTTGACATGACGCAAAATTCACGGTTCCATTACAGACTCCATTACAGACATGATGATAAATCCCAATGTTGGAACACTCCATATCTCGACCCGTTTTGTTTGTAAAACAATTGTTCGCAACCCATGACCCCAAGTAAGGGGCACCCCCCAACAACACACAAAAATCATTATCAAACAATGACCTTAGCATGCCTTAGCATACGACCAGCGCTGGCAGACTAAACCAAACAAAAAATATTTATACATAATCACAAGTGCGTAAACCAAAATGCTGAAATTGTTTAAGCAATGTCATACATTATAATACCTCACCAAATCCTGCAAAGGTCTCAGACCTTACAGCAACAACTGGTTTGACCACGTTTGTACAAGTGTTCAACATCATAAACGCCAGCCTCGCCGAACTTTCCCAGTTTCACCTTTCCGACCACACACAGCAGCATGGAAATCTAAGTTTCCAGGTTTTTCAGGGTGTGATTTGCTGCTTCTAACCTATAATGACACAGTTTAAAGGGTTGTTTTTACAAAGAAAAAGGATTTACACGAATGGTTTTATTGCATGAGCACCAGCCCATTCCCTCTCGGTCACCCGGTTGGCCGAATACAACCCCACACAGAGGCATTAAAGTGCCACTTGTTTTCACATTCCAGGTTTCATTCCTGCAGCGGTTTACCCAGACGGCTCGCTCTATAAACACCTGCCCTTCCTATCCCCTCGCCTTCCACCTATTGATCAAACAGCTGCACTCTGCATCACTTTGCAGGATTCAAAGCTGCGATTTGCTTATCAAAATGCAATGGCCTCCAAATTGAAAAGGATTTACTCTCCAAAGGTCGCTTTCGCTTTATACGCTGTAAACACTAGCCCTCCCCAATCCTCTCCCTTTCCTCAATCCTGAATCATGATTCGTGTATTCCAGGAAAACGATGAACGATGAGGGGCGCGCTGTCATGAAAGTATCAACAACGCGCAAACGGATGGTTCCATATACAACACGCCCGGTGCAAACGGCCAACATATCGCGTGTGGTCCTGTGTAGCAACACATGTTGTGTGTTCAAATCACAATATGCATGAAGTGACAAAGCAGGCCTTGCGAGTTTCGCACGCCGACTGTGGGCACACAACGTGTGGCATCTGAGCACCTTTGGAATGGGCGATGGCCCGCGTCTGTGGTGAAGCAGACGTGGCGGTCGGCACCAACGTCCTGCTACGAGACTTGAACACCCACAGCTCACGCACAAACGGGCGGCGAGTTGAAGTCATCACCAACGGGGTCCCTTCATGGAACGGTCCCGATTTAGCCATCGACACCAGTTTGGTCCCACCACCCACTTCCCAAGCTGAACCCCCACGCCACCAGCAAGCCATCGCGGGGCAGCGCTCCGCATTGCCAGAAGGGCCAAAGAACGGACATACCCAGAACTGGTGAGGGGGGGGGGCGTGCCCGGCGGCTGGTCGTTGCCCTTGGAATATAGGGCAGGTGGACCCCTGCCTCCTGCGTTTGCTTCCTCGCTATACAACAAACTCCATATTGCGGCGCGGCATACATGTCCGCGGCTGCCATGTGATCTCTCGCGTGCAACCTCCTCCACCTCCCCCCCATCACCACCAACATCGATGGCCCCAAACCTTTCTTGGGTGACCTTCTCACACAACACCACCACGACAACCCCTCCCCCCACCGTGCCTAATTCTGGAGACAGGCCAATATAAAAACAGCCCGCTGCCCGTGCACGGTCCCCCCCCCGATGCTTTGCAGTCAAAAAGGCATGTGGAAAAACAACAACGTGTTGTGTGCGTGCACAAAACATGTCGTGTGAGTTGACACAACATG